ATGTAAGGCAAACCCCTTGCATTTTTTTCAATTTTGGCAGAAAACTGAAATTGCTTGAAAGTTGCTAAAAAGATGCCTAAAGGGCCCTAGAACGCATTCCAAATCGATTTCTGGACAGACATCCTATTAAAGGGGTAATTCCGTCGATAATTTAAGGTAAAATTGCACAAAAAACTATTGTTTTTATTCTCCAAAAAAGGATGATTTTTGCCCAAATCCCCACAATTGTGCGTGATAGAGTATCGATTGATGTTCCTCTTGCATCCAGATGAATTTCTGCATCGTTTGGAGAAAAGTCAATTTTTGGCCAATTTTGACTAAAAATGTAAGGCTAACCCCTTGCATTTTTTTCAATTTTGGCCAAGAAAAAGAAATTGCTTGAAAATTGCTAGAAAGATGCCTAAAGGGCCCTAGAACGCATTCCAAATCGATTTCTGGACAGATATGCTATAAAAGGGGAAATTCCGTCGAAAATTTAAGGTAAAATTGCACAAAAAACTATTGTTTTTATTCTCCAAAAGAGGATGATTTTTGCCCAAATCCCCACAATTGTGCGTGATAGAGTATTGATTGATGTTCCTCTTGCATCCAGATGAATTGCTGCCTCTTTTTGAGAAAAGTCAATTTTTGGCCAATTTTGACTAAAAATGTAAGGCTAACCCCTTGCATTTTTTTTTCTATTTTGACCAAAAAATGAAATTGCTTGAAAGTTGCTAGAAAGATGCCTAAAGGGCCCTAGAACGCAATCCAAATTGATTTCTGGACAGATATGCTATAAAAGGGGAAATTCCGTCGACAATTTAAGGTTAAATTGCACAAAAAACTATTGTTTTTATTCTCCAAAAAAGGATGATTTTTGCCCAAATCTCCACAATTGTGCGTGATAGAGTATTGATTAATGTTCCTCTTGCATCCAGATGAATTTCTGCCATGTTTTGAGAAAAGTCAATTTTTGGCCGATTTTGACTAAAAATGTAAGGCTAACCCCTTGCATTTTTTTCAATTTTGGCCAAAAAAATGAAATTGCTTGAAAATTGCTAGAAAGATGCCTCAAGGGCCCTAGAACGCATTCCAAATCGATTTCTGGAAGGACATGCTATCAAAGGGGAAATTCCGTCGAAAATTTAAGGTAAAATTGCACAAAAAACTATTGTTTTTATTCTCCAAAAGAGGATGATTTTCGCCCAAATCCCCACAATTGTGCGTGATAGAGTATTGATTAATGTTCCTCTTGCATCCAGATGAATTTCTGCCATGTTTTGAGAAAAGTCAATTTTTGGCCGATTTTGAATAAAAATGTAAGGCTAACCCCTTGCATTTTTTTCAATTTTGGCCCAAAAAATGAAATTGCTTGAAAATTGCTAGAAAGATGCCTCAAGGGCCCTAGAACGCATTCCAAATCGATTTCGGGAAGGACATGCTATCAAAGGGGAAATTCCGTCGAAAATTTAAGGTAAAATTGCACAAAAAACTATTGTTTTTATTCTCCAAAAGAGGATGATTTTTGCCCAAATCCCCACAATTGTGCGTGATAGAGTATTGATTGATGTTCCTCTTGCATCCAGATGAATTTCTGCCATGTTCTGAGAAAAGTCAATTTTTGGCAGATTTTGACGAAAAATGTAAGGCAAACCCCTTGCATTTTTTTCAATTTTGGCCAAAAACTGAAATTGCTTGAAAATTGCTAGAAAGATGCCTAAAGGGCCCTAGATCGCATTCCAAATCGATTTCTGGACAGACATGCTATTAAAGGGGTAATTCCGTCGATAATTTAAGGTAAAATGGCACAAAAAACTATTGTTTTTATTCTCCAAAAAAGGATGATTTTTGCCCAAATCCCCACAATTGTGCGTGATAGAGTATTAATTGATGTTCCTCTTGCATCCTGATGAATTTCTGCATCGTTTTGAGAAAAGTCAATTTTTGGCAGATTTTGACTAAAAATGTAAGGCTAACCCCTTGCATTTTTTTCAATTTTGGCCAAAAAAATGAAATTGCTTGAAAATTGCTAGAAAGATGCCTAAAGGGCCCTAGAACGCATTCCAAATCGATTTCTGGAAGGACATGCTATAAAAGGGGAAATTCCGTCGAAAATTTAAGGTAAAATTGCACAAAAAACTATTGTTTTTATTATCAAAAAAAGGATGATTTTCGCCCAAATCCCCACAATTGTGCGTGATAGAGTATTGATTGATGTTCCTCTTGCATCCAGATGAATATCTGCCTCTTTTTGAGAAAAGTCAATTTTTGGCCAATTTTGACTACAAATGTAAGGCTAACCCCTTGATTTTTTTTCAATTTTGACCAAAAAATGAAATTGCTTGAAAGTTGCTAGAAAGATGCCTCAAGGGCCCTAGAACGCATTCCAAATCGATTTCTGGACAGATATGCTATTAAAGGGGAAATTCCGTGGAAAATTTCAGGTAAAATTGTACGAAAAACTGTTTTTATTCTCAAAAAAAGGATGATTTTTGCCCAAATCCCCACAATTGTGCGTGAAAGAGTATTGATTGATGTTCCTCTTGCATCCAGATGAATTTCTGCCTCTTTTGGAGAAAAGTTAATTTTGGCCAATTTTGACTAAAAATGTAAGGCTAACTTACACTTTTTTAAATTTTGGCCAAAAATGAAATTGATGGAAAGTTGCTAGAAAGATGCTTTAAGGGCAGAAATGGTATTAAATGGGAAATTCCGTCGAATTTCATCGCGAGGAAAAGACGGTTATTCCTTTTTTTTTTTACAAAAAAATGACAGCATACCAGGAGCAGTGATTTCACAAAATTCTTGATCCTTTTATTACAATCAAGTAGGATATTACAAGGTATTTTGACAGCTCATTTTTAAATTCTTTAAATAAGTTCATCTGGACTGTTGTTAAAACAAGAATTATGAGATTCTTTTTTTTTCCAATCCAAAAACGTGTAGATGTTACTCACGATTTTTAGTAGTTGCGTTTTCACTCCTAAATAAGGAGCTTCGTGAGACTAGCAACCATGTTCGATGCTCAACTGCCTTTTAATGGCGTCGTGGGCGTGGTTTGGACTAGTCGATCAGAGATGATACGGAGCATAACATCTATGATCAACATTATTTTTTTTGACAATGGTTGTGCATTCTTCTCCACATGTACACCTTGCCATCGATGTCTATAGACCTTTTGCACTGCAGTTACCTCGGAGGGTGTTCTGTGGTTTGTTTAGTGACAACTAATGCACAAATGGCTTATTCATGCCTATCCGAACGATACAAACACCACTGCCCTCTTGCTCCGCCTTAACGCATGAGGTCTATTGAAAGTGCAATCAAAAGAAGAAAATGACGTCAACCAATTACAAGCACCGTACGTAGCTAACTGTTTATGAGAGAAGCCTCTTGATTGAATGCAACAATTGTAATAAGTTTTATATCCATCAATGATTTATCGACTTTGGATTTCTCTTAATTTTTTTTTTCAAAGACAAGAAAAATACAACTCAAAAATAGCTATGATCTTTTGGAAAGCTACAAGTAAAAGTCTCCCAACCTGGGGAGAAAATAGAAATATTATCCCATTGTTTCCCATAAAAACGGCAAATGCAAAATGATATAAACATACCAAATAAAACCACATGCGTTTTTTTTAAAGTGCAATGCCGTAAACATTTCTTAAAACCTAAATAACATATTTAGGAATGTTTACTGTTAGCCACAGCCATTTCAGGCGATAAGACAGTGGCTTTGCATAGCACAGATACCTACAGAGTAATTTCATGGATTCAAAGGCATTTAAGACAAGGAACCAGTCCTTCAGTTGCGAATCCTTACGACCATCAATTTGTTTAAAAAAGGGTCCAAGGTTATTTATGTAAATCATATTCCCGGTGGAATTTACAAGGGGAAAACAATTGAGTACTGTGCACTTTTATAAATTTCTGTTAACAATATGAAATTTCTGTTACAAATTCAGTTCTACAATATACAGCATATAACAGCTAAATATGTACAGGAAAAAAATACAAAATGTAAAAAAGGTAGAAAAATATTGCTCTTATCATTTTCTGGAAATTCTTCGAGAGAACAATACTTTCTAAAAAATCTTAATGGTTTTAACATGTCTTGGTTAAAAATAGCACATAAATTTACAAGAGTCGCAGGGACAATTGTGATTTTTTTTTTACAGTTAGTATATCTATTCTTGTGAATGTGAAGGACTTTTGATCAGTGAATGTGCACAATAATATACTGAAATTACTGCTTCGCAGTTATCATTTTTTTGCACTTAAATGGGCATATACATGTAGGATCGTTTTACTTTTCATGCATTTCGTTCGTTTCCAACAATAACACCACTCAAAATCCAAGAAGAATGTCCAAAATCTAACCTGTTGAACTTTCAGCTCAGCAGTTATTACACATATCGAGAAAACAGTTAAAAAAAAAACATGCACAACCTTAAGGTCATGAAACACATTTTCGTCAACAGCACTTTTCATTCCACAAATCTGTCTGTTGATTGATCAATCGACTGATTTTTGGGATAAAGAGTGCTATCACAAAAATCATTGGAAATCACATACATTTCTTGATTTTTTCTAAATGACATTAAAGGGAATGTACATCATTGGCTTTTGCAGTAATTTTCAGAAATGAACTATTTTGAGGGGTTAGTATAACAGATCAAATATTGTTACACTGACATGTTTGAAGTTTTGTGTTCGAAAATACTGGAAAAACCAAGAAAAACAAAAATGTTCAAGTCGTCTGGTTCCCTGACTCCACTAAAGATGAAATGGATCAATTAACAGATGCCTGAAAATTGTAAGGTAATGGAACCAGTCTAACTGGCCACCCGTTCATGAACATGTAACCAATAGCAAACAAAATTTGGACTGATAAAAGTGTAAAGTTGGAGCAGTAGTTGAAAAATAGTTAGGTTTTTCCAACGGTGGTCGGCCGACCACCGTTGGAAATGTATACAAAAATACAATTTTCTTGAAAATGACTTCACACCAGGTGCCATAATTTTACAGGATGCTTTAGACTGTCATTTACCAACATCCTAGTAAGGTATTTCGTAAAAACTTGGTAGTTTTATTTTTCGATGTTTGCAAATATTGTATATTCCCTTTAAGCCAGATGGATTAATTTCAAGGGTTGTTTGGTATCAGTCTGATCTTTAATTCAAGTAGGATTTTTTATAATTCGGTAGATTACTTTTGGGATAAATAACCCTGGCATTGCAGTCATGTTTATGAATTAAGAATGGTGTCTTCAGAACCAAGTTATTTTTTAGTTATAAAGTCTATACAAAAAATTAATCGCGGAAGACATTGACAGCCCCTGCCAAAAATGGAGAAACAAATCGCATAACTCTGTTGGCTAATTTCATGGAGCATGCTAAGCAGAAATCGTGAACCAGTCACAAGCAATATTCACTGAATGATACTTTGGCTGGTAACCTGTTGCTGCTAAGCAAATTTCTTTTGTGCTTAGCACATTTCTGTGCATAGCAGCTCCATGAAATTGACCCTTCCTGCCTGTCAATCAAACAGAGCACAGTGACCAATCAGATCACAACTTGTTGGTCAGGTGATGTGTAGAAACCAAAGGTGGGTGGGGCTTGTAGACAAGTGTGTTTCTATTGACCCAAATTTTCTGACCTAGTGTCGGAACGTCAGAGGAATGTGGTGTGGCCTTCCTCTCCCGTGTCTGTGTAGGGACCCAGGTAGTCTGCTGGGACGTGGCCTCGCTTGCCGTTGAAGTCCGCATACCACCACGTTTGGTCGGCCTTGTCCAGAATGGTCAGGATGTCCCCTGTTTTTATGGTCAGTTCCTGTGGCCCCTGGTGTAAGGGGGGGGGGGGGGAACAGAATGAAACAATGATGAAATATCTTTACAATGATGAGCTATCCTTACAAAGCCCTAAGGAGGAAGAAGTAAGGTGTTTGTGAAAATAGGATACAAATAGGAATATTTCTTCATATGTGTGAATATTTATGATTTTGTTCACCAATATTCTTAAAATGATTCTGTGTCCAATATATTATTTTATTTCCCATTTTTTCATTGTTCTTTTTTTTAGAAGGGTCAGATTTGTAAATGATTCAACCCGAGTCAATCGCAAGTCAATCACACAAGTCAATCATGAGCCAATCGCAAGCCAATCGTGAGTCAATCGCAAGTCAATGAGTCAATCGCAAGTCAATCACACAAGTCAATCCTGAGTCAATCGCAAGTCAATCGTGAGTCAATCACAAGTCAATCGCAAGCCAATCACAGCTAAATTACAAGTCAATCACAAGTCAATAGCGAGTCAATCAAAAGTCAATCATAAGATAATCAACAAAAAAAACAATCACAAGTCAATCACCAGTTAATCACAAGTATTGCAAGTCAATCACAAGTCAATTTCAAGTCAATTGCAAGTCAATCATAAGTCAGTCGTAAGGCAATCATGAGTGAAATCACAAACGTCTGTGTCAAATCACACAGGGAATGGTGGATGAACGACAAAAATGAAATGTGCTTGTTACAGACTTTCTCTTTGCATATAAGTTGCATTCTTAAAAGTCTTCATTGACTTGTGATGACTTGTGATGACTTGTGATGACTAGTGATGACTTGTGATGACTTGTGATGACTTGCGATGACTTGTGATGACTTGCGATGACTTGTGATGACTTGTGATGACTTGCGATGACTTGTTATGACTTGTGGTGACTTGACTACAAATCAGAGAGGGGGCGGGGTTGAGGGTATCCTCCACTTTCTTCAAGTCACATGAAGAAAGCAAGGAGTATTTCTGACTGCTGTACAGACCCAAAGGAGCAAAAGGGTTTTAAAAAACAACAGTACAGAGTTAAAATGTTTACCTGTGCATCATATTCAAACTTGGCCATGTACTTGTTGGATTGTTTGGCACTGGATTCTCCAATGACCCCCGTCGAATACTCGGACATTGAAGAATAAATCCCATCTGGAAAACAACGTTAAAAAAGATTCTTAGTTAAAGCTCTTCGTCAAACTGACATTGTTAGGTTTTTGCATATTAGAAAAGTTACACATAACAGTGAATTTAAGAAATATTGGCATAGAAGGGATCAAAATAAGGACAGCGCGTCCAAAAAAATAAAACGGCACACCCTGTAAAGTGAATGGCGCCCCCAATCGCCAATCAGTAGACTTGTCTCAGTGATTTTTGTTCTCCTTTTGTGGGAGGGGGCATGGTCTTGAGAAATCATCCTGCAGGCATAAAGTCTTTAATCAACTTGAACGTTACAGGGGAAATATCAGACTTTATTCAGGGGAATAATATTATATAAACCACTTCCCGCCTACCGCGATAATAGGGAGTCCACCTCCGTTAGCACACTCCGAGCATGTCTTTTTTCACAGGCATCGCACACGGAATAAACCACCGTCAGATTTGTTTATATTAATTTGAAAAGGAAGAGTTATACCACATAAAAGACAGGACAATTCGGGAAAGTTAGTGGGCAATCTCTATTCCGAACGAGAAACGTGATAAGTACCGCGATAATACGGTGTCCCATCCTACCTGATGTATCAGATTCCCACAAGTAAACGACACTGGCAAAGCTCAATGGTCAAGAGGTAAGATGTCTGCAGTTTTTAAATCCCGAGTCAATTCACAAATCTTGTCACAAGTAAAACTTGGATGAACAAGAACAACGGAATGCCTTAGCCAGGATTGGGGGGCTTGGTGAACAATGCTGCCTGGAAGATCTACATGTAGTTGTGGCAAACAAGAAGGCTGTACATTCGAATAATAGCGCAAGTTCGGGCAAGGACCATTAGTCGACTAGTGGTTGATTTGTGACGTACCTTACGCCTGCGCACTAATAGAAAAGTGCGAACGTCTCTAGTTGAACGCTGGTCAAAATGTCATTGCAAAACGTCTGGATCCTGGCTCCCTGCTGTACGTTATGAACGTGCGCGGCTATGGTTACCATGCACAGTAACATACACGAGTCCTGTTTATTACGTCACGATTTACTGTGTTTTGTTTGCTGCCCGCAACGACGACTTTTACACAGTTGCACGTTCGGGTCGAAACTGGACCTGGAAAACAGCTCTCAAAAGTACCTTTTGTACTCATTTCATGACAGAAACAATAGTCGTTTTTATTTCATCACACCTTAGGCTACATATACACGAAAAATGACGGAAATGTCTTCGAGCATTCCACAACCTCTTTAAATATGCATGTTTATCTTATAATTGGGTTGTCAGGCTTTTATCACTTATTCATAAATACCTCAGACAGTTTAGCCATTCCTATTGGTCGAGAGCCCGTCACGTGGCCGGTATTAAACGGATGATAAAGACATGGCTAGCTGGTCTTAAACACTTTTCCAGTGTCACAATAAAATGTGGACTCCTAAAAATCCAGTGCCTCTTATCGTTTCATTGGTTGAACATTCACAATCCTCACGTAGGCATGCGCAACACTACCAGGGAGTTAGAATTTTATAGTTCTAAATTCAAAACGCAACGCGCCAGGTGCGTTCTGCGTGACATCGCGCAGAACATGTTACGCGCGCGTCAATCTCCATAAAAGGGTTGTTTACATCTTACTCGCCAGCTGAACACTCCATTATTTTGCAAGAGGGATGTTTCAAAAAGCATAAAGTGAATTTGTTGAACAAAATCGGGATGTTTTGAACGAATTATATGATTTTTTTTTACCGAAAAGGTATTTATGAATGGGAATAAATATGTACTCCGTCGGTATTTATCACTCTGTTTAATACCACTTAGAGTCTGGGTGCTGATAATTACCCTCGCCTCCGGCTCGGGTAATTATCAGCACCCAGACTCTAAGTGGTATTAAACAGAGTGATAAAAACCTCCGGAGCACACATTTATTCCCTTAATACGTTTCAGGGTGGGTGACAGGGTGGGTGACAGGGTGATGGTACCTAGGAAAATCATAACATTCTGACGCTGAAAACCTCAGGGATTTGAAAAGAACCTTTAACCTACAACCAAAAAAAACAACCAGCATTTGCCAACTTTGTCTGGGTTTTGTGGGAGCAGGTCACAAATGACAACAGTGAATGGCCGAAACGGATTAGTTTTTGAGTTTGGATCGGTGAACTCACGTCACACTTACCATTTTTAGGTGGAGACATTGGTGGGGGTGATGGTAGGGCCCGGCTTTGATCTATCTTGCCAGGTATGGGCGGCAGGGTCTGCCGATTTCGACCGTTGGAGATTCCAGGTTTGTTAATGACGTTGTCTTTGTAATAGCACTCGTAAACGATAGGCGCTGAAGATGGGGAAAAAAAAAATGGAAATCAGGATATGCTTTGTTGAGTTGGTTATAATGCATATACTGTTGGTGGTGTGCAGCTAGAATTTCCCTAAAAGCCTGGTTCATACTCCACGCGAATGCGAAGTGAATTTGACGTCAGGGGAGATTTCGCTGCGAAATTTGCCGGAGTTGAAATGTGTTCAACTTGTGCGAATTCGCATCGCGAAAACATGCCCTGACGACACAAATTCGCATTCGCGTTCACTTCCGCGCCGAGTATGAACCGGGCTTAAAGGTAATATACAACATTTGCTTTTGCTATTATTTTCAGAAATGGATTGATTTGGGGGTCAGTATTGTACAGCACATGTTGTTACACTGACTTGTTCAAAGTTTGGTGTTCATGGATACTGGAAAAACCATGGAAACAATTCTGTTCTTGTAGTTTCGTTCCCTGACCCTACTTCAGACGAACTGGAGCAATTTATAGACGTCAGGGAATTGTCAGGTCAGGAAACCAGACTAACTGGCTTGCATCCGTTCTCGGATGTGTAAAGCGATTGCAAACAAAATGTGGACTAACTAAATTTGGTAAATTGGGAGCAGTATTTGAAAAAAGTCAGTTTTTTTTCAACAATGGTCGGCTGGGACAATTATTGGAAATTAATTTTAAAAATCAAATTTTCATGAAAATGACAGCACACCATGGTGCCAGATTTCATAAGATGCTTGAGATTATTATTCACTCACAGTCACGTAAGGTATTTCATAATAATTTGGTAGTTTTGCTTTTTCATGTTTGAAATTGTTGTATATTACTTTTAAATTTCTTGAAAGATGATTTGGAACTAGAGCTGGAATTAGATTTATTTTTGCGAGGCAAATGAGAAGAATCTGATTGTAATTCTATGGAGTAAATTAGTATTTAGAATGCTAATAACAGCCTTATTTTTGAACAATTGGAATCAATATCATTACACAGATGCTGAAAGGTTATATCAATTTCAAAACATTTACTTTTTCGTTTACATGAATTGTGAACATGAAGGGGTTTTTGCAAATGCAGGAAAATTCTGAGTAGAAATGAAGCAGGGTTGATTTCCAATAAGAGTTCAACTATTTATGTTTAGAAGATTTACGAAGTTTGCGGTGGTTGGGCGATCACAGGTAACTTATCAAGGGTAAGAGAAGTTGTGAGATCAGCAAATCGGGTACTGTGCTGCCAATGCCAGGATCGCTTTAAGACGGAGCTAAAAATGTGAGACATTACCTGGTCTGCTGCTTCCTGTGTTTTTCTGCGAAACAAAGAGCTGAATGTCTCTGTCCTCATTACAATCTGATAGGGCTTTCCTCATGTCCTCGGAATTCTGGCCGGAAAATAAAAAAGCATGTGAGACTTACGCGATCCCCCTGGCATTTTTTATAAAGTCAGTTAGTACGGAAACTTGTCAGTGTCTCAAACCAAAATGGTAAATTCCCCCCCCCCACAGAAGTGTGGTTGGGGTCTACGAACGAATACTTACCTGTAGAGCAACACTACTTATGCATATTCCCCCTACCGGCAGGTATTTTCGCTAAGAGTTATATACAATAGCGCCCTCTGGCGCCCTACCCATAACACCCCGCGGCATGCGTGCCTCGTGAGCGTCCTCTTTTCTCGAGCGCTAAGTCGGAATACAACAAAGTACCCAAGGCATCGAGAAGAGTGGGGTAGGGGGGAGGGATGCTCTACAGGTAAGTATTCGTTCGTAGACCCCAACCACACTTCTGTGGGGGGGGAGTCTACTTCACTCTACTTACCTGTAGAGCAACACTACTTATGCATAGACTAGCACCGTCAAGGAGGTGGGCCATGCGAGATGCTATTGTGCTTTCACAGGGGCACGTAACAATACGCGTAAACCCTGGATGGGCCCGTCGTTCCACATGTGGGTGGACAAGGCAGCCCAAAAAGGTCGGCATGATAAAGACATTAGTCATAATGGTAGCCTCAACATGCCAACAGAGATGTGATCCCCGATTTTGGGAATCACACGTAATGAATTACAGCCCACCGATACCTATACATAAGAGTTCGGTGGGGCACACAAAATAAAAATTATCATGAAAGGCAAAACATCATGACATGGTACATATAGACACTATAATATGCACATGTACATGTACAGAGCTCAATAAAGAATCAGAGTTAGGAGACACCAATGCTGGGGAGGTCCCCAGTCTGAAAATGTCTTGAGAACATGGTGGGGCTCAGTCAGTCGCCCTCAACACTGTTCTCCCATGCTCTGCCTTTTATTTTGTGCATGCGGACCAATCACACGGATTCTGCCGTTGATACGTCCGTGGTTTTATGGATGACCGTAGCCAACCTTCAGGCAATCTTGTCATGAAAGCCTGCAGGTATGGTGGGGTCACCATGATAAAATACATGTCATGAAAGGCCTGCCTGTATGGCAGGGTCGTCATGACAAAAAACATGTCACGAGAAGCCTGCTTGTATGGCAGGGTTGTCATGACAAATACGTGTCGCGAGAAGCCTGTTGGTATGGCAGGGTTGTCGTGACAAATACATTTGTAACTGCAAGTGACCGATTCAAAGCGTCCCAGTGCAGCTAATGTACGACGTTAAGGTCATGATTGGCACCAAAAATTCTGCGTCTGGACAAGAATGATTTGATGCCCGAAAACAAAGACGTCCGGAGGCCCAGAGGGCTCTGACAGTCCTTAGTATAAATCCCTCCTTAGGGAGCAGACATCAAGTCATGATCAGCACAAAAAGTCGCTGTCTGAAACGGACAAGAATCATTTGATGCCCAGAACAAAGACATCCGGAGGCAAAGAGGACTCCGACCGTCTTAGCTCAAAAAACCTTCCTTAGGGATCAGACGCCAAAGTCATGAGTGGCACCAACATTTTCCATCTGGAGTGGACAATGATTTGATGCCTAGAACAAAGATGTCCGGAGGTAAAGAGGACTCCGACATTCTTAGTTAAAAAACAAAAATCCTCCCGTAGGAATCGGATGGGCACACTCGGTTCCCATCAGATGTGGTCCGTCTCAATTATACAGAAAACAGTTCTTCACTACATGTATACCAAGAAGTAACAACTGCTTAAAAAAAAGAAGAAGAAAAAAAGGCAACCGTAGAAAACCAATGAAACAGATGTGAAATTGTTCACTGGTTCACAGAGCTCTAAAGATCTCTATAACACCTTTGGATAAGAAGGTGTTGAAGAGGTCCTGCAATTCAGGGGTGTTAAAACATCCCCTTAAGTTAACTGACACGGACGTTCAACTGACTAACATTAAGTAATCTACTGTCATGTTAGAAGTCCCTCAAGTGCAGGCTGTAAAAGCCATAGCTTGTTTGAGAAAGGTCTGATGTGAACAGGAGAGCATTACAGCATCCAGTACATCAGGAGAAATTCCTGCGGAGCTGGGTGAAGGAAACCCAAGCTGTGCTGGAACCGAATATTGTTCTGCTCGGAAGAACATTTGTACCTCCAACTGGTGCACCAAGGGAATGGTTATAACCCTGGAAACCAATCAATGGGGTCAACATAGAGTTAAGAAGAGGACCTTGTCATCCTTCTGCTCCATTTGATTAAGTACCCGAGGGATAAAAGAAAGACGACAGGAAGGTGTATATAAGTAGCCTGTCCGTCTTCATCACCATCGTATTCGCGTGCCATGTATAAGGGTCAGGAACCCTCAGGCATTAGCCTGGCAATCTGTAACTAGTTCATGAAACAAGTCAGATTGACATGTGGTTAGTTGTCCTTGCTTGGGAGGAGGACCGTCGAAAGCAAGAAGCTAGGAGGAAAAAACCCCAACGGGGTATTTCTCAAGTGAGTGTACACAGGTGTGCAGGCTACAACTGTAAACTACAACATCGAATATAGAAGTTACATCGCAGTTTCTCCGAGACTGCCAGCATCTCAAGTATGTTAATGGAACTTGAATGATGCTCACACAGGGCCTCACCAATCCACCACTAGATGCGTGTGGTGGGCAGTTAACTGGCAGGGTAACATGTTCGCCATGACAGTTAATGAGTTAGGCTGCAATCTGTTAGAGGCCCACCCTTGTGAGGTTGGCAACGCCGAACCACAGGAGGTACTGCACAAGTCAGGTCATGGCCTGCACTGAATGCAGTGAGGACTGGGCCGATACAAGCAAATAGGTGAATGCCACCAATTTTTGTTTCCACGGCGCAGTCATATCGCCTTTACTATCTGAGCAGAGGCCAGGAGTGAAGCGGAAAAAAGGCTGGATGGAGCCACCATGAAGTTGCAGCGAGAATCTTGGTTTGAAAACCGTGAAATTCTCAGTGCTCTGGCCTGAAAATGAGTTGTCAGTTGTGTACCCTTCAGGCCAGGGCTCATTCCCCATGCTGATGTGTTAGACAGTCGACTAAATCTCATCAACATCTTTTCAAGGGAAATACAAGACGGGCCCAACACTGTGCTGGCCCGATGGTATTGATGTCAGCCTCAAAGTCTCTCTGACGAGCTCCTACGAGACAGATGGGTAGAGGTCGTCATGAGTCAGGTAGGCCACTTATGGAAATCATCAAAACAACTGAAGCCGAACCGAAATCGTTGTTACATTATCCTATGTGGCATGGCGTACAGAAAATGTTGCTAGCACGGCCCACACAAAATCATCTGGGCAAACTTCCAGAGGTATGCAGTTGAGAAAACAAACAACTGTTTGTTCTTCACCTGCGCTGGCCCACATGTAGTCGACATCGACCAATATGGATGTAGACATCGATATCCACCGCAAAAGAAAAGATCTTTGTCCGTTAAAAACTTAAAAAGTGGGACTTGAATCTTTGGCGGGCGCCCTTTGACGGGAGAAACAGTTCATCAATCATGTTACCCCGGCGGGCCAAGATTGCTAGGGTCTGCACTCGTGTAAAATTATAGAGTACTGAGTGCAGACTGTGAAATTGATAAAGAAAATAGCAGTCAACACGTCCGCTAAGACTGTCGAGTCAAGATAAAAACATTAAACCTATGGTACTTCATGAGGGTAAAGAGGGAGGCTGAACGCGTATCGCCGAGCCCACTTGATTATTCTACATGTACTGCAAAGTGTATTCAAGCTTCTGCGAGTATCATTTATGAAGAGCCGCTTGAATAATGGGGTCCCTCTACTGCTGGCAGCTTGTGCTTAGCTGCATTGAAGAGGGAAGATGTGACAAAAAAATACCGAATTTCGCTAACGGAAAACGGTAATGATCACATTATTGCTTGAAGAGCAGCAGGCAGTTTGAATACAGGCACAATCTTGTTGAACAACTCCCTCGGAGACAATGGACAGTGTACAATGTACATACACAAGTAATGCACACATGTACAATGTGCATGAAAAATGTAGCGATCTCAGTACAGCAAGAAACACCGCCGCACGGGTAAGCACTGCGCGGCGTGTCCCATTGTCCTTGAGTCACCCAACCGTGATTAATGTAGAGTGCTACAGAGTTCACGGCTCGCAACTGAACTAAGACGGACGTTTCATTAACGTGCCCGCCTGGCAATACATGTACGTGTATAAAACGTATATGACCGATAATAAAGCCGAGAACATAGTAAGGCTTGTAATGAGTGGGCCGAAAAACCGAGTCCTCATCACGGTAGCGTATGCCGCGGTGGGACCGGTGCAATAAACTCGCCCGGATTAGAAAAAATAAATAAATAAATAAATAAGCCGTTCCCGCCTGAGAAATGGACACCACTTTGTCCGTTGTCGATGTGTTTCACATTTGATCCAACGGAGGTGTGGGGAACACCTTGTCATTGTTAGATGTGGAGCCCGTCCTGCGCTTGATTTGAAAATTTTGTGATCGGGCGGAGGGGGCTCATCGGCGGAGGGTAATTTAAGTATCCGTGTAATGTCCTCTGCAGCAAACGGAATTTCGTTTCCGCGATTGACAGCCATTGTAACTGGTCTGATTCTTCGTCATCATCGGATGAATCAGCCGAATGCGAAGGCCAAAATGACCCCGATGACTGAGAGCCGTCTGGAGGGGCTAGTTGTACAGAACCACGCGGTGGTGGCTGGGCAACACCCTCGGAGATAATAGACATACATCGTACATAATATTATGCAGATGGTGAAGACTAAACACAAGCGGGGATCCTGGCGCACGGCTAACTGTGTGCGGTAGGTCCCGTTGTCACGGCTGGCGAATGAGAAGTCCCGTTCGCCGTAGGCCGGGCTTCCGGTATAGCGCGCCACCATGTGTGGTATACATGAACATGTACATGTACGGACATGTGTTTCTTCCATTTTTGTACATGTACATGTACCTCGTTGTGCTCACGGCCGATGCATGCGAGACACTCGCTGCAGGCCGGGCCTCCGGTGTACGGTCAACCATATGTGGTATATCCCGTCCGGTTGTGCCTGGGCCACCCAACCGTGGCCAACGAACGACGACTGTGAAGCCCTCACCGCATGCGGGGACGCCGCAGCACGACTAATTGTGTGCGGTATGTCCCTCTGTTCCCGGGCCACCCAAGCGTGACCGCGGGTGACTGAATACTGCGATGTGGGCCCAACGACCGATGGTTGTGGGCCCAACGACCGACGGTTGTGGGCCGTAGCCCACCGCTGGAGGGGGCCCCCAATAGGGCCCGCCCGGCGGCCTGCCGACATAGCCGACATAGCCGATAGTTCGTATCGGAAATCGACTGAAAAGCCTGCAGAAAATCTGCTCTAGAAACCGCATCCTCCCCCCGGGAGCGTTTGCCCCGGCGGGACCGGTCAGAGGAGTCGTCACACCCCGAAGAAGAACGGCGCGATCGACGTGCAGCCTTCTTCTTCTTATCCTTCTTCTTAGAAGAACGACCCGAGGTGTGTCCGAGGAAAAATCGGAAAACACCTGGGACACCGGGAACCCCGAACAACGGAAAAATCCCGATGATGAGAGTAGTCCCTCTGAGCGAGATGGCACGGGGGCCGTCGGCCCGGGATCCCCCGGGGCGACCGGCTCCGTATCGCTCACAATGCACCCGGCCGACAGCGCCTCAGGCCCCGTGGGCTGAGCGAGCACTGAACGGACCGGTAGCCCATGCAATAGCCCATCCCGACAACCAGTGGTGTTCGGCACTGTGTCGGGAGGGCACGGGTGACTAGAGCCCACCGAAGTGTGACGGCTAGTCCCCTCGGGCTGCCCCGTGATCGGGGGAGGGCTAGGTGCCAAAGCGGCGCTCGTTGCCGAGCCACGCTTGCCCTGACGGCCCTTCTTAGGCTTTGCTCCGGCACAGGAGATATGTTTTAGGGGAACCTTGCCGGAGTGTGCCTTTAGTTTGGGTGTTCCGCCCGAGTCGACCGGAGAAGGCGACCGAGGTCCCCTTAACTGATCGGCGGAACTGCCAACTCCCCCAGCCGACTGTGGCTGAGGGTGCCGGACGAGAGACTGCTGCCGCGGTAACGTCGGAGCGTTAACGGCAGAGTCCCCCGAGAACTCGGTCCGTCCCGTGGGAGAGCTATCCCTAACGGTTAATGACAGATCGGCCCTCCCCAAACGCTGCAAAATAATCAAATAAATACAACCAAGAAGATGATGAAAACTCTACAAACTGTTGTTTTATTAACTCTATTATTAAATACTTCTCTTAAACGCAAAAAAGGGTAGTAAATGACGAGGCAAACAGCGAGCCATTTCACGCACGTCCTACCCGACCTGCCGCTAAGAGAAAAGAGGACGCTCACGAGGCACGCATGCCGCGGGGTGTTATGGGTAGGGCGCCAGAGGGCGCTATTGTATATAACTCTTAGCGAAAATACCTGCCGGTAGGGGGAATATGCATAAGTAGTGTTGCTCTACAGGTAAGTAGAGTGAAGTAGACTTCTATTGTTTTAGCAATAGTGACCTTGACCTTTGACCTGCCGGCTCCAAAAGCAATAGGCTTGATAAGACTACCAAGAGCACCCTACAAATCAAATTTGAAGTTCCTAAGTAAAGTAGTTATCAAGCTTTCATGCTGACAATGTAGTCTAAGTTGTAGATTTGTGTTAATCCCTGAATCATGCATACAGTCATTCGTTCTGAGATGTTTTCATCTTTGTATGTGCCGCTGGCTACTGCACCTGTAACACTTTTGGTGATATGTTCAGATAGCTACGGTGACATTGTTGGTACTGACCATCGCCATGTCAGGTAAAAAATGCACAAGAAATTCCACATTCAGCCACCACGCGGCTGTGCTAGACCAAAGAAATTACTGTATCCAAGACACGATATAATAATATTTTTTCTTAACTGTGGGATTAACTGCGTAATGAACACAATATGGACTGAAAACATGCATACATGAAAGGATAGACCCTATCACAGATGAATTCAATTGTCTTGTAACAAGTTCCTTGACAGACACTGATGCTTACCACATCGTCACTGCAGCACTGTAGGGATATAATGTTGGCAAAGACCCACATCGCGTTCCGTAAGAAGCGAACTCGTTCCATTTCCAGCTGCTGGAAGACCTGTAGCCACAAACCCCAAAACACAATGATGCACTCGATAAATCCAAGCAATTTTTATTTTGCATCTTGGTAAAGTCATTGACCGTAATACGCATGGGTGAAACATATCAAGGGGACAACTGGATATGTCACCTCATTGGGAATACGTTCTTATAGCTTATATTCCATGGCGGTCAGCGTGGTTTCGTTATAGCGTGCAGCGTTACATCGCTGGTCTGAATGCTGCGGGTTCGAGGTTTGATTCGTCGAAGGAATTTTACATTTTCATTTTTTCCCCCAAAAATGAATTTTCTTCCCTGAATTTTGTTTAATCAAGTCCTCATGATCGAAGATGAAATTCATTTCACCCTCTTCTTCTCATTTGCGGCTCTGCAGGATTTTTTTTTTTACAAAAGGGAAGTTAACTCTGAGAACCATTCCGTCACCAACTGACGCATGTGCACTATGTCATTGACTATATTTGGTTGCAGAAAAAGTATTTGCAAGTTCATGGCATTGTGGGATGTAATAGGCCCAATTTCATGCAAGTGCTTTCTTGAGCATGGGATTTCTTGGTAAGCAGAGCCACGATATTGAGCACATTTCATGGAATGGACATGCTAACACTTGCTGCAGCTACACAAGCGTTGTAACTACATAGAGTCGAGTCGAGTCATTTTAAAGAAGTGACCTGAGTCAAATCCAGTCATTTTAAAGAAGTCACTCGAGTCAAGTTGAGTCATTAGGTCAAGAAGGTCGAGTCGAGTCGAGTCGAGTCAAATATTTAGCTCTAGTCAATTTGAGTCACGAATATCTGAACACTACATGTATATTTAATTTCAAAAGGAGGGCATAACCTTAGCCGGCGTTTGAATCCAAGAGCTTTAAAAGAAATCGCCCAAAGCCAATGATGAAACAACAGATTGGAAAATGTGTTAAAATCTTGTATTTTGTGCATTCAAGAACAATGAGGTGGGAGTCTGAGACACATTGTATGGTTTGTACATGACAAGCGGCTGCTGTACTGCACTGTATTCGCAAAGTGACGTGAACATAAAATTTGCACTGTAAGTCATTGCAACTCCTTATCACAAAGTTTTGCTTTTATTTTTGGAACTCGAGTCTTACGCTGGAGTCGAGTCGAGTCGAGTCTTGTGATGAGGGACTCGAGTCGAGTCATTTGCTCGCAGGGACTGGAGTTGAGTGACTCACATACTATCAGGGACTCGTTAAGTCATTGCAATTACTTTTCTCACAGTTTTGCTTTTATTTTTGGGACTCAAGTCATGTCTTGTGCTGAGGGACTCGAGTCAAGTTGAGTCATTTGCTGGAAGTGACCGGACTCGAGTCGAGTCATTGACTCCAGTTATTACAACTCAGAGTTACACTACTTTAAACAGTAGCAGACCCGGGGGGGGGGGGGGGGGGGGGTGGAAGGGGGCCGCCGGCGCCGCCCCCCTCCTTCCCCCAAGTTTTCACAGTATTTATCAGTACATATTTTTGTTAGGTACATGTATGTCTTGTCATTTTTTCCTGAAAACCTGAAAATAAGTACTAGTTTGTGGTAGCCCCATGTACTCTTAACCCTCTTTTGTGAGTTGGTGTTGTTCTGAAAGGGTCGACAACTTGACATTTCTGTGCCTCTTTCCACCTTCAGTCTTCAGTGTTGTAGTCCATCACAAGTCGCTGCAAGTCCTCACAAGTCCATCACAAGTCCTCCAGCCCCACTTCAAATGACAATTCAAGTAACCTGTGACAAAGGCATTCCATTGTGAAGGACTTGTGACGGACTCGACTACAACACCGTCAGTCTTGAAAATGTAGGGTTCTGACTTACCACACAGAGTTGTGCCATCTGTTCTTCCCACTGCTGTCGCGTCTGTTCTAACGTTGTTACATCTCTCTGATACTGTGAGTCTACAAACCAAAAGATTGCAAGTACAAATGGAAGATAAAAATAATACATGGAGTACATAGCAGCAATATTCCAAATACCAGAGTCTGTGTGCATACATGTACCTTTCAGTTTCAAATGTGACCTGCCACAACAAAATGAGCATACGTCGGGAACTAACCATTTGGTAGTACAGTGGGGAAAAGCCAACAAGCTCGATCGGATCTCGGAAGCTGCAGGCCAATGAATTCGTGTTCATGCATGAGTCACGTGATTGTGCCAAGTTATTTCTGGAAGGAGTAGTGTTTTGAGTGAACAAAAATCAGGTTTTTGACCCGAGTGACCCCATGATGACCTTTGACCCCAGTTTGGTCATGTGACACGTTGGGGCTGGGCTACTGATACGTTTGACAAAGTTTGGTTGAAATCGGTCAAAATGTGTAGGAGCAATAGACAATGTGAACTAACTACAAGTAACTAACTAAATAACTAACTAACTAACTAGATAACTAACTAACTAACTAACTAACTACCTAACTACCTAACTAACTAACTAACTAACTAACTAACGGACTAACAAAGAGCCACAGTGATTTGTTGAGCTGCTATCCCGCAGCCAAAAATTGAAAGGGTGGCCGATTTTGTGTTTTCAGGTGAACCTCAATATTTAAGTCCTGTGCTACCTTTCCCCATTGTTTTTGTTCTGTCAAACATCTCTAAAACCTATTTTACTGGTTGACTGTTTATTAGTTCTCATATGACAGCAGGATTTTTAAATGCCATTTTCTTTAAACAAAATTCTTCTGCAGCTTAACTTTATATTTGAGTTGTACAAGATTGTCCTTGCCTCTAATCAGATTGGTAGTATATTTTGCATGGACGAAGGATTTTTTTTTGGGGTAGAGTTGGGCACACTTGAGATTTCTATATTAAACTCCATAGTGTTTTATTTGAAATACAAATTTCAGTTCAAGGAGGGGCAACAGAGACCTGTTCCAACAAAACCCGGACAATGTTATAAAATTCCTAGCTTTTTATGAATTCGAAAATGACCAAATAACAAAACAAAAACACCCCAAACTTTGTCAACTTTGCGGGAGCATGTAGGTATCATATGATTTACATTGGATGGGAAAAATCTCTCTAAAGATTCACTCAGTTTTCAAGTCTTACCAGAATGTACGACTGCTTGTTTAGCTCTATCCTTCTTTGCTGACATCTGAAGAAAAAAAAAAGAAAATGCCAAATTTCTGAATTATTGGAAAAAAGTGAAAAATGACAATATTTCATCATTAATTCTGGAAAAGGAAACTATTTCAGGTTGCTTACATGTTATATCAAAGCAGATGTCATTTCACACATGTACATGTGTGGCAATTCCAGCTTTACGTACGGCCAAGTAAAAATATAATCCAGTTCCTCATCTCACCACCTCCGTTTTTCCCAGCTGCCCCTTTTTTTGACTTTTGCAATATATTTTGCACATATTTTGTGAGTTTCTATTTGTTTCCAACTAAATTGTAGCTACATGTATGTAGAAAGGGTTATAAATAGCTCTGTCGGACACAATTTTCTATCAGCAAAATTATTGAGAAAATTGAAGAATCCATCCGCCATCTTGGAAAATCCGCTATCTTAGGAAGGAAAAAAAGCGCCCGCCTCCTTCATTTTTTCAAAAAGGCCGCATGAAAAACTACTTATTTTTTTTTAAAAGTCATTTTTTTTTCCAACCACAGCTGGCCAACCGTTGTTGGAAATTGATACAAAAAATTCCACTTCTTCTTGAAAATGACAGCACACCAGGTGTCACGATGCCTGAGACTATTATTCACGTAAAGTCAAGTCAAGTAAGGCATTTCATAATAATTTGGTAGTTCTGTTTTTGTGTGTGTTCATTTTGTATATTACCTTTAAGAGCTCAGTGAATAAACCTGAAAATGTATTTTTCAAATCTAATACATCCATCATCTTGATGGCCAAGGAGATTACAGACTAGGAGTTTTGGATCATTTCTCTGAACCATTAATTTAAAGGGAAAATACAACATTTGCAAACATCAAAAAATAAAACTACCAAATCATTTTGAATTACCTCCCTGGACTGTTAGTGAATGACAGTGTAAAGCATCCTGTAAAATCATGGCACCTGGTATACTGTCATTTTCAAGAAAAGTGATATTTTTGTATCAATTTCCAACACTGATCGGCCGATCAGCGTTGGAAAAAACTAGCTTTTTTTCAAATACTGGCCCCAATTGACCATCGCACTTGTTTGCAATCGATTACACACCTATGAACGGGTACAAGCCAGCTAGACTGGTTCCCTGACCTTACAATTCCCCAATGTATGTAAACTGCTCTGTTTCTTCTTATATGGAGTCAGGGAACCAGACTACAGGAAAATGATTGGTTTTCTTGGTTTTTATAGCATTTTCGAACCCAAAACCTCAAAAAAGTCAGTGTAACTATATTTGCTATATATTTCCAACCCCCCAATTCCATCCATTTCTGAAAATTACAGCAAAAGCAAATGATGTATATTCCCTTTAACAGATATCATGAATTATAATAGGCTTTGTCACGGACATTACACTTCCTTTCATAATGCTGGAATGGTCCAAATGTAACATTACACTAGATGGTACACTAAAGAAGGAAATCACAAGTAGTCACAATATGTAACATTATAACCACTACGAACGGATGGAGAGCCTACATGTCAATGCATGTGAACCTTTTTAAAGGGAATATACATCATTTGCTTTTGCTGTAATTTTCAGAAATGGATGGAATTGGGGGGTTGGAAATATATAGCAAATATAGTTACACTGACTTTTTTGAGGTTTTGGGTTCGAAAATGCTATAAAAACCAAGAAAAACGATCATTTTCCTGTAGTCTGGTTCCCTGACTCCATATAAGAAGAAACAGAGCAGTTTACATACATTGGGGAATTGTAAGGTCAGGGAACCAGTCTAGCTGGCTCGTACCCGTTCATAGGTTTGTAATCGATTGCAAACAAGTGCGATGGTCAATTGGGGCCAGTATTTGAAAAAAAAGCCAGTTTTTTCCAATGCTGATTGGCCGATCAGCGTTGGAAATTGATACAAAAATAGCACTTTTCTTGAAAATGACAGTATACCAGGTGCCATGATTTTACAGGATGCTTTACACTGTCATTCACTAACAGTCCAGCAAGGTATTTCAAAATGAGTTGGTAGTTTTATTTTTTGATGTTTGCAAATGTTGTATTTTCCCTTTAATGTACTGCACAGTCTCAGTAGCCAGATGACATATATGAACTTTGAACAATCAAAGTGTCACTTTCCATTCAAAGTACACTGCTTGTCAGTCGGAAAAAGTATACATCTGAAACTAAAACTCATTTTTGATTCTTGACGCATTTCCTTGTTTTAAAATGTACTTATAATAACATGGCTAATTTATGTAAGGCATGCACAATGCTTGGACAATTAATGCATGCATACTAAATGTGTATTATGAAAACGGAGTCAAAAATGTGGACGGAAATGGGCTTTTTAATCAATGCTGTTCATAAAAAAATTAACAGGCTTTTTTCCCCGTACTTTAACAAATACACATCAGCTACAGAGCAAAAAGAAGGCAAATCTTTTTGTTCACAACTTTTTTTTTTAACTAATAAGTGTTCTTGAAACAACAATGTGACAATATTTTCAAAGTAAAAAAAAAGCAATGAAGCATTTTTTTTTTAGAATTGAGTATTATATCTTCAGCCTCCACCACGTCAACAACTTTTGCAAAACCTTAAAATCATGCACCGCAACACATACATGTACATTTATAACATACTGGTTCCCATTTCCAGAAATAGACATTCCTGTGGGTTTTTTGTGGAAAATTTTCTAGTAAAATTGGAAACTAATGACGGACCTTTTCTATGTCCTTCGGTGGTGCGACCAGTCGTCCTTTCATGTAGGTATCTTCCGCTATGTCCAACTCCCTGCATTTACTGTCATAACTTCGCTTGCTCTGCAAAAGGTAAGGACAAACAATTTGCTCTTTGTCACGTCTGGAAAAATACATTGTTTGATGTTCCAACTGTACCAAGATTTGAAGTTTATTTTTGAAGTTTGAGATAAATTATAGCAGATAATATTACACATAATTGTATGGGGGGCAGGGCAGTGTTGTTACCAAAGGCCCTATTACCAGTATCCAAAATATCCGTGTTAGACCCAGGTCTTAATTACGCAGAGATTTTACGGTATAGCCCTTTCACACTAGCCTAGTCCAACATGGCTTCTACCGGTACATACTTCTACTGTGTCCATATAGTGCTCTACAAGAGGTCAAATCCAACGCTGGTCAGGACTAGGGTTAAAGGGAATGTACAACATTTGCTTTTGCTGCGATTTTCAGAAATAAATGGATTTGGAGGATTAGTATGTTATATAAAATATTGTTAAACTAACTTGTTTTATGTTTTGGGCTTGTAGATGCTGGAAAAACCAAGAAAACCTATCATGTTCTTGTAGTCTGGTTCCCTGACCCCACTTAAGATGAAACGAAGCAATTAATACACTTTGGGGAATTGTAAGGTCAGAGAATCAGTCTAGCAGGCTTGTACCCCTTCACAGGTGTGTGATCAATTGCAAAGAAAAGTCAGAATAACTAAATATGAAAAATTAAGAACAATTTTTGGAAAAAAGCTGAGTTTTCTCCAATGCTGGTCAGCCGACCAGAGTTGGAAAAATACAGTTTTTCTTGAAAATGTCAGCCCACCAGGAGCCACGATTTTAAGGATGCTTTAGACTGTCAGTCCCTAACAATTCTGTAAGGTATTTCGTGATCATTTGATCATTTCGTTTTTTGATGTTTGCAAATGCTGTATTTTCCCTTTAAGAGGTTCTATACCTGGGTAGAAAAATAAAAAACTACAGCCGACCAGTGTATGAGCAGACCAGTGTACATGTATGCAGGTGTTCAGTGTGAACCGGGGGTGGGATTACAATCCAAATTTTTAAACATTCCGTTTGAATTTCACTATTTAGTTTAGATTTTGGATACCGGACATTCGAAAACAACTTTAGGAAAATTGGGCCTTCCAATTTTTGGTGACACAAGCTAAAGAAAACCACTGGAACACCCCTTTATTTACTTCAAAGTCTAGCGGTCTTCTTGGTTCACGAATAGCCTACTCATTCATCTGATAAGAGAGTTCCCACCCATTTTTCCCCAACATTACAGCTCAAGTGTTTTTGTAAAAGCCTAGTGGTCATTCAATCCTGCAAACTAGACCAAATCGTTGTGGCATTCCATGTGGCACCTCACTCGTCATTATTTGTTGGCATGACTGTGAACTGAATGGGAGCTTCCGGTAAATTGGATAACCGGATTTTGAAATCTTCGATTTCTCCCACCACTAGTAAGAACGGCATGCCTTGCCTACCCTTGTTCGATCAGACCTGGTTTCGCTTACAGTGGACCGGTGTTGATTTCATAACGGGTAGGGGAGACGATAGTCTGTGTTCTATAATTTTTCAGCATTGAAACAAAGATGGAAATGTTGCATGATGAAGTTTAGGCAAAAATACTGTAGTCATACATTGTATTTTTGTTGTTCCGGTAAGCTATGATATATACTGCTGTTGTGGCTACACATAAGTTGTTTTGATGCTGCAACATTTATTTATTCCATTTCTTTACCCAGGGTATCTTCACTTTTTATCTTCAAGCAAACTTGTATCCTCGATCCTGATTGGTCGATCCATGGCAACAACAGTGTGATATGAGGCTGTATTGCACGGTCCATATCGCACCCTGCGTATTGGGCTATTCCAAGATGCGAGCGACATTCCAGCTGCATGCGCTAAACCGCTGAAAGGTTCGTGTAAAGTGATGGTCCAACTTTACTGCGCGTCAAGTTTGCTTGAAGATAAATTCGTCATCACGCTCGCGCTCGTGGAACACAGAAAATGTAGTGCGTCTGTGTCCCACATTCGGCCTCGTGGTATGTGGGACACAGACGCACTACATTATTCCGTGTTCCACTCGCGCTCGCGGGATAACTAATATTATTAACTTGCAAAACTCTCCCTAGCTCTGCCTGACAAATTCAGGCACAATATACACCAACACAGCAGTCAAAATCAATCAAGTGATTGTTTTAACAGCTAAGATTTCCCTTGTTAATTTGATATAGCCATGCTTTGACTGGAGGCGATTGATATGCCAGCTGTGTACCTGCCAATTACTTCTTTTGTGTAGCACAAATGGGATCTGACTTTTATTTCTACTACATGTAGTCTGTATACAAATGCATGGCAAAGAAAGTGGAAGAAATTTTTGACTGTGTGACTGTTGGTTTAGAAATAAGGAAGTCAGTTCACAGAAAAAAAGTTAACCCTGAGAACAAATCAATTGTAAAACATCCGGATACAACATTTTCCGGCACTCTAGTACATCAGATATAAGATCATTGATCCAATATGAGAACATTTGAATAGTTTTATCTATTTTTAAAAAATTCATCATTACTAAGATAACAAATTGTTTCCTAAAATTGTTTCCTCTAGCTTTTAGTGAAATCCTTCCTTGTGTTTATTTATGTTCCCTGTTCTCTTGGTATTAAGGCAAAAGTCTCTGGTAAACTTCCTCTTTTGATCACGGCAACCAGTCCGTCTGAGTGTTGCCAGGTTACCACAAGATCATCAAATGATGTTATGATGGCTATTTACACAATGGTGTGGGGCAGATAAGGGAACTAGTTGGAAGATTTGTGCATTTGATGATACAAGCATGGAATTTGACATACAGTCACAGATTATGTCTAAAGAAAGATATTTGCCATCTCCACAAAACACATATATGTACATGTACACACATGGTGTTATCATCAATTGTCACCATGATTTATGTGTCTTTTACACACAATGTCTGTGCCATAATCCTGTAAGCAAAGTCCTAAAGCCAGTTTCAGGTCAATTTTGATGTGTTTGCGGCGCCATGACAGAACTGTCTGTATCAAGGACAATTAATTACATGCTCAGGTCACAAAACTGAGAAATCGTGTGAATATCGTTGAACAAGCCACATCTTGACACAGAACCAGAAGTTGAAATGTTTCTACTTTTTTTAGGGAAGGATCGACACATATGACACAAGCCAAAATACTGTGCTAAGGCCCCCCCCCAAAAAAAATATTTGGTCTCTGGTCAGACCAAAGTTCTGGAATTGACGCGGCTACACGGCTTTTTTTTTTTTCTTCAAGCTTGGATTGTACAGACAAGGTGGGGTACAATTTTGCTTTTTTGGTGTCCTCATGTACATTGGTGTCCTCCATAATTTGCCTTGGTGCTCTCGATCATTTGCCTTGGTGCAATTTCCCATTCCTTGGTGCTCTTTGGTAAAAAAAAATTGAGGAGGTGTGGCAATAGAGGGCGCTGTTGGAGCTACCGCGGAACATTTTGGAAAAAAAAAAGATTGATGCGCATGATTAAAATCAACGCGCGCGCTGACCAGAGACCGACTTATTAATTTTTTTGGCCTAACCCATGGAATACGTTAACATGAACAGCTACACAAATGTATAGTTAGCGGAGATGAATATTGAGAACTGGTGCATGTATGAATTCAGGCCGGCTAAGAATAACAGAATATTCCATCTAGCTCTTTCAGGGAATAGAAAGAGATTTCAGATGCCCATACAATGTTAATCCTTAGTAAGGTTTTTGTGCTTGCAGGGTTAGTGCAGAATTCTCTAGTTACCACTGTAAGCACAGAATGGCGAACATTTGTAAGTGTGTAATTCCATGGTTGACAGAGCTACAAAAAATGTAAATGTATGAAATTGGGCCTGGAGGCCATTTTCATGCAGCATCTGGGTAGGCTAGGGCGCATTCAGGTCTGAATTGAATAGAAACGATTCCATACCAAATTTAGAATCGGAATCGTGATCCCATTTTTTTTGAGGAATGGATTCCCGGTAGTAAAAATTCAATTCTCCCAAGAATAGGTTCCAGACACTTTAAAACATTTTTTTTGGTCACTCGACACGTCCAAAGTTGTGACAAATTATCATTTTTACAAGAATGACACTGTATACTGGGCTAGTCAAAAGGAAATTGACCTGAATTAATGATTTTTTCCCCTTAAAAAGCAATTAAATTCGAAACACAAATGAAGCATACATGTATAATCAAACGAGTATGTTCTTCCACTCATTTGAAAAAAAAAAAAAAAATTATATTGATCTGTGCTATAACAAGTGAGGCATATTTTACTATTAAAAGAACCCATTTGTACAGCTGTCCATGGAATGCCATTTGAAGCTACAGTACTGAGCTGAGTGAGAACCAGAAATTACACACTGACATAAAAATACAAACAATGGGATTTTTATAATTTGAGTCAAGACTGAATCCTTATTTTTCCTTTCAGATTTTGTGTTTTGAATATGAGGGAAAAACAAAGTCTTCTTTTTCTGAAATAATGATAGTGATTTTTGTCTGTTTTACCATGCAAATTTTGTTCAATCATGGAGGTGGAAAACATCCCTGTTTCATTGTATTTAAAGGGTACATGTATTCATCAATGAGTGGAACGGTAAATGATCATTGTGGTGGACAGTTGAATTTTGTGATGTTTGTATTAAAATACAGGGTGAGTAAAAAAAAGCGAAACCCAAATGTCCGGACCATTGTTTTAGTGACGTTCTGCATGTAGCACTTTCAAAATCTAGAATATGAAAGCCTAATTCATAAGCTTTCTTTTAGTACAAGAATCATTCAAATCACTCAAGTACTTTTCAGGTTACGGAATTTTAAACACAACCACCGTTTTAAAGTTCTGTTCACGGATCACAAAAAAAGGTGAGCGTTCTTTCAGCAAGACGAAAACAATTTACACACATCCCTATGTGATTTGTTTTCATTTTGCTGAAAGAACACTTTACCTTTTTGTGATCCGTGGACAGAACTATAAAACGGTGGTTGTGTTTAAAAGTTCCGTAACATGAAAAGTACATTAGTGATTCGAATGATTCTTGTACTGAAAGAAAGCTTATGAATTGGGCTTTCATGTCCTAGATTTTGAAAGTGCTACATGCAGAACTTCACTATAAAAACAATAGTCCCGACATTTGGGTTGCGTTTTTTTTTTACTCACCCTGTAGACCTAACTTGTTAATACAGAATGCAAATTACATGAGATTTTTACAGTTACTAGTCGATAAACACATACTTTATCTGTTTGTTATTTTTTATTGAATAGAAGGAGCCATATATTTGTTTAAATATTGTTTTCTTATTAGGTCACTTTCTTTTTGACTTACCCTGTATAGTAATCATTAGTGAAATTAATGGGGTTCTTTCCTTTGGATGGATAGAAATTGATTTGATTCAATATGGAATCATGATTCCAGTGTGGAATCGGAATCAATTCCAATTTTTTTTGGAATCGCCCAAGCCCACTCAGCTCAGCACAAAATTCTCCTGAGCACAGAACTCTCCTCAGCACCGGAGAGATTTCCTCATCCAAATCATGTTACCAATCAAAAACATTCATGCATAATGCTGGTAGCTGGAACTGTCAATTTTTGCTTTGCACTAAAAACATCGCGTCGCTGTAGCCATGCATGTCGGCAAAATGAAAAAGGTTTTTTTTTAATGAAAGATGATGTCTCAAACCGCCAAACTCACTGGTTTGACTGGAATCCTGCTGCTGCACAATTTTAACGTGTTTTTAGATTGGGTTATGGTCGAGAATAAGCTTTATGTGGCCTCTCTGGACTCCCATATATTTGCACTAAGTTTAGTCGGACACCATTTGTAGTCATCAGCTGACATTTGAAGCAAAAAATCAGATTAAAAAAAAAAAAAAGCCGCGTCGCTGCACCACTTTTTGGGCAAGCTCCATACCAGAAACCGGAGACTTTTTTTTTGGCCTAAGCGTTTTCCTTTTCTTTCTTTTGCTTAGCGGTGATTTCGATGGACATCTTACATGCATGACTTTGTTGTGCTGATCTTTCTTGGCATTGATAAGCTTCTTGATGCACTCTTCATGTTTCCGCCGTCTTTCCTTCTGTGTCTCTCGGAAGTCTTCCACCTTCTTCGCTTCTTCTGTTAGCCGAACTGAGATGTCAATGTGAGACTGGCCACAGTTCTCGGTCTGCGTGATCACCTCGCTCCAGGCTGTCTTCAAAGTTCTGGGAGGAAGTTGAAAACAGTCTCTTAATTGTCACAACAATTAAATTTACACCACCAACAACACACCATGTTCACTAAACAATGCTAAACAATTAAATTTCCAATTGGTCCTGTAAATTACCATTAAACTTCGAACAAAGAAACTACTGTCAGAGCTGGATTTGAACCTGCGTCTGCCAGAACACTGTACAACTACGAGCAATCTACCAACCGCGCTATCCAGCCCTACATTTTTGTATATGTTGTTGGTCTCCCAATATGTCAGTACCTTTGTTCATGGGGTGCTACATGTAGTCAGAAGCCATCAAAAAAATTAATAAAGTACACTTGTATGAGCCATGTATTTATGGAAATTTATATTTTCTACACAAGTAATGTAATAAGTCTGTCCCAAGCCCATCTGGGATTGGTATTAATTCATCTCCACCAGTTTCCTTATACATGTAGCATGAAACATAATATATCCCTCTGGATGTAGCCTTGGTCAAGACGCTAGTTGTATTAATCCCGGCCGTAGCGCGGTAAACGATATCCTCGCTAGTGTTATGCATGTGGTGCTACAGCGCGAACAGCAACCTCACGCGGCCACGGTTTCTATGCAAATCAGTTGGACCCAATCTAGCGCCTTGGTTCAATCGTCGACAAAAGCTTATGTTTGTCTTATTTTGCGCTGGATTTCTAGCGCACGACCTCGTATGCGAATACAGATAAGTGTAGGCGGGGCTAATAAGTGGAGTGTCCAATCACACCTTGGTAAATCCGGACGTCATCAAATTATTTGCAGCCATTCGCCTTTGCGGACGTGACAGGAACCACAGTTTTTGTGCATTGGTGCCGTGTGCAGAGACACACAACGTGTACGTGTATGGATTATGTACGGTGCCACGTTTCACTCTGCAAGTTTCCACGCAACGATCGACCAATAAGAAAATGACATTTAAGGTCAGCTAAGGCTATTAACATAATGAGCACCGCCCCCAAAACCTCACATGGACGATTGAACCAAGGCGCTAGATTGGGTCCAACTGATTTGCATACAAATAGTGGCCGCGTGAGGTCGCTGTTCGCGCTGTATTTGTAATGCACTGCATGCATAGACATATGACTGCATGCATAGCGCTAGCGAAGATATCGTTTAACGCGCTACGCCCGAATGAATAACAACTAGCGCCTTGACCAAGGCTAGTCCCAAGCCCATCTGGGATTGGTATTTCATCTCCACCAGCTTCCTTATACATGTAGCATGAAACATAATATACCCCCCTGGATGCCATGCTATAGTCCCAGGTATGTACAGGGTATAACCCGGGAAGTAACAAAAAAAAAAGAGAGGAAACTCCAAGTTTTACAAGACTTTATACAGTGTTTTTTTTTCATTTTTAATGGCATTAGGTTAAGGAGAATACACAAGAAAGTGTGGATTCTCAAGGTCAAAGTGTTTGAAGCGCCGAGTGAATTCGTAAATTAAGAATCCACACTTTCTGGTGTATTCTTCGACTTAAACCATTGCATCAAAAGAAGTATCCATTAACAGTGAGTGGAGATGAAAAGACTTGGGAAAAATTTTGCAACCTGCCGCCACTTCCGCGATTGTGTACAAAGTCTATGGAGAGTCAAGAATTTTTTTAAAAAGTATTTCCTAACAAAATTGGAAATATTTCTCAGTCTCAGATTCATATCTTATCATCATTTTTGCAATGAATGCCCTTCATTGAGATGATATATGGAGAAAAAAAGTGGCGTCAGGTTGCAACATTTGTCCCGGCTCCTTCCGTTGACAAATTGATACAAGTAGTTCAGACGATGATTTCTTTCCGACTCGAAATAGGTTCGTTCCGAATCCACACTTTGTGACCAGCGTAACAGATTCGTAGTTCCGAATCCACACTTTTAACAATAGTGTGACGTCATAGCAATGATTTAATGTGAGTCAGCCTGTGATGTTTCTTGGCTGATATATCTTGTCTTTTAAAAAAAAGAGACTTTTTTCGACAAAAAATATTCCTGGCGTTAAGTGTTTAAAACACAATTCATACAAAGTGTACTACCTACAGTGAAATCTCGGTAAGTCAAACCTCAAGGGAACCGGTTCAAAATTTGACTTCAGCATAGTTTTAACAGTTGTTTTGAGTTAAGAGTTTGACTTATGGAGATTTCACTGTATGAACAGTCCCAAGGAATCTACCCTACTTTCCAATTGTCCAATCATGTCTACTTCCTTGTTCTAGGGGTTTCACCTAACCAAACAAAGATGATCATGGACTCCTTTGGCCTTCTGACCTTGCACCAAGGATTGCATGACACAAATAGGAAAAGGTAGCTTTGTAGAGCAAGGACGGTGTGCAGGAAATAAACAGGGAAAATGCTCGGTATCATAGAAGTCATGAAGAAAAAGTTTAAACAAATATTGAACACAATACAGCATACGGCACTCAATTTTGAAGACACTCTTCAATGTATACAACATATACTTCGTGAAAAAGACAATTTACAGTTTCGCAACTTTTTCGCTTTCACAAACAGCACTCACTTTTTTCTCTTATTTCTTGTTGATTTAATACACAAATGGGTGAAAAAACAGCAGATTTAATCAATTCAATACATCAAGTGTCCACAACGATAAACCCAACGGAAAATACTCTGCCGTTTTGACGCAAAGTGTTGTTTTAGAAGGCGTTCAACTTTAGATGCCGTTTTCTCCGATTGCTAGTTTTTACTGGTATGTACATGTACAGTACATGTACACTGTACATGGGTGTTACTTCGTGGTGTTGCTGACGAATTGTTGCTGATGACAAAGTTTCCCTTTGAACATATTCTGATTTGTTTGTTGACGGCTTACCCAATCTCCTCCTTTCCTCCAGAAGTCCTGGAGATCTTAAGAAGAGTTTTACCAAACGATTCCTCTGCTTTGGACCTGTTGCACACAAAATATTAAGTGACAACAGAAAAAGACATAAAAGTAACAGCAGTAGTGAAGAAAAATGAAAAAAAAAAAATTGGATTTGTTTTCCTTCCAATTTTCAGATTTTTTTATATAACTACTGCACACAATTTGAAGAAAGAGTATAAAAGTTGTGGAATCAATTTTTTTTTAAGGAAAAACACAGGAGTTTTCATTTTTACAACTAAAAACATTCAAGGCCTTTTTCTTAGCATTTTACTTTTTTGACATGTCCATAAAAGTCAACTTTAAACAGCCATAACTTGTCAATTGATGGAATTAATGTCCAATTGAAGTGCAACAAACAGGAGCACGTTTTGGTGGCCCTTGAACTGGAACATGTTTCTGACGTCACAGCCGTGACCTGAAACATATTTCCTGTGCACCGCGAAAACAACTGACCGGAAAATTGTTCATGACGTGATGTTACTGCCTACGTGACTGCACACAAAATTCACGTGGCAACCGGACATGATTAACAATAACATTCAAAGCAAAAGTGGGAGTTTTTTTTTATAGCGTTTCCCTAAAGTTCTAAAAAGAGTAGGCCTGATATTCTGTATCAACTTTCGTACCAATTGAAGGTAAAAACCCACTACATGTATTTAAACCCCATTTATGGTAAAAAGTAACGTCGTCTGCTAAGCTTGTTTACCTTTCCGCCATCTTGAAACATAAGTGAACCGACCGGAAACCTCGGTTCAACTTTGGTCGAAACAATGACGTCATTTCAGTGTAACCGAAGCGCCAAAATGGCCGCGAACCAGAAACATGTTTACGGTCACAGCGCCAAAACGTGCTCCTGTATTGCAAGGAGAATTTTATTCTCTTTCCTAAAAGCCTCATTTTGACAGAGCTGCCAATTCTGTCTCATTTTGCCAGAATAACTCACATTTTTTTTTTTTTAACTTTGGAACAAAACAATTGACTGGGGGGGGGGGGGTTGAGCCTGTGACCACCATATTAATAATGATGTATTAATAATGATGTACATCAAGCACACGTAACCCCTTGAGCACCATTATCAAGATCATTGCCATTCCAGTGCTCTATCAACTGAGATATGTTGGCAATTCCCCACTTTGTCAATGTCTTAGTTTAAGGGGTGCCAGTCAGAAGCCATAAACCAGTATGCAATGTATACATGTATGCAGCCAGGCAGCCAGCATGGGATCACAAACTTCAATTTTATTTTATTGATTTTTTTTAAACACTCCCAAAAAAAAAGTCAAGTACAATTTATACCTTTTAAATTACTACATGTATGCATCTTTGTACTGACTACTAAGCAAATGACCTCTTCAGGCGTGAAAATACAGAACACTTCTTTCCCACACATTACATGTACATACACCATTTCCGTGATATGACACTCTGCTCCAAATATTTTGATATCTAAAATAAAATTGGAAAGACTGATCAACTTCTAGGAGTGCATTTTGACAGAGGTGACAAAGTTGCAGTTTAAAGGGCCCATGTAATGTTATTATGTTAATGCAATCCATGAAAATGCACTTTTGTGTCCCATTTAACCGTTTGTTTTTTTTTCAAATTAATATTTTGCCATTTTTAAAGGCATTTTTTTTACACTAATGCCAATTTTCCATATTCATGAGCAAAAGTGTGATGTCATTTCAGACAGAAATCTCACTGTTACAGCTATTTCATCATCACAATTTGCCAGAAGTAAGGATATTTTGCTGTTGTACATTTTCTTTTCTTTTGCGATTTGTTACAAGCTGATGAGCAAAGTCTTCTCACAAACATTTTCCATGAGTAAATTTGGGTTCACAATTTGAACAGAAAACCTCTAAACTACATATTAATAACAGTGTCTTCCTGAAATGACATCACAGCAACAGCACCCTCATTTGTCAGCAAAAGCATGGATTTAAAAAAAATGTTTTAAAGAAGTGCACTTTTCAATAAAAAAGTTCATCAGAAAGGGATGTCAAATAGTTAAAGAGGAGAAGAAAGTTGCTCAAAATATGTCCCCATGGGTCATGGGTCCTTCAAGTTGTTTGACTGAGCCCTACTGATTTTGTGGGCTGAAGGAAGTTTCCACAAATGCCTATACTTGCCAAAATAGGTCAAACACTAGCCCGCATGCATTACTAAAACATCTATCTCTATGCTTACCTCTGTTTCAAGAACTCTTCGTAATCTTTACACATTTCCCGGCCATCTTTCATCCTTTTCAGCAGCACGTCATAGCCGTTTGTGCTGTTGAAGTCTGTGTCCTGTGCAAGTGTATGCCAAAGAAAGAAACCTTTAATGGTGTACTATGCTTGCTGAAGTTTAAAAAGCAGTGTCCCCACTTTCACTGTCAAAGTGCTACGTAATAGCCAGTGTTGGGATTCAATATCCGGATTTTTTAATATTCGGTTTGAATTCCACTATTGGGTTTGGATTTTGAAAATGGGATATTCGTAGCTAACCATACATGTACAATGTACGTGTAAAATATAATCAGCCTTCCATTTTTTTGTGACACAGGCTAAAGAAAACAACTGGAACATCTCCCAATTTGCTCTACCAGTCCTTCTGATTTGAGGCGTACGATCACACGCCCACGCCATCACACGCCTAAAAGCTGCCCAAGAAGTGCGAATAATCGCACGCCTGAATCCCTCTGTACCGCACACCTCAGCATACATTTACAGCATAATTATACTTCATAATTTATGGAAAAAACAGTATGTCGGTGAAGAGAAAACGGCTTTAATTTGTAAACCAAAATGAATAGTACATGTACAAAAAAATACCAGATTGTTCAGTCCTGGCTTGGACCTCAGAATCACTCGCCTAGAAAAATAACACGCCTAGATAAATCACACGCCTAGAAAATCCAGGTGTGCCTTTTTCCACACGCCTGTGATTTTCAAATCAGGAGGACTGCTCTACCAAAGTATGGTTTCTGATTGTAACCGCATGCACTCGCCAGTGGTCTTCTTGGTTCATGAACAGCCTGCCAATTCGACTGATCAGAGAGTTTCCACCTATTTTTTTCACAATTACAGCTCTGGATCCGGAACGCATTGCATGTGGCAACTCACTCGTCACTTTTTAATTGGCAGGAATGTGAGCTGAACATGCTGAATGGAAACTTCTGGTGAAATCAGATATTAAACCGTTATTCAGTTAAAAAAAATAATAGGATCACCAGATTTTGAAATCTCTAATTTCTCCCACCACTATTAATAGCAAGCAAGGACTACTGCTAGCGATGGATCATGCCACACACTTGGCAACTGTTCAGCCATTGGTACATTTGTACTGCCAGCGTATTCAAAGCAAAATAAAATTGTTCGTAAATTTGGTGAATAAATGCTACGTGATGATCAACTGTTTCACCGAGCAAATAAAAGTCATTCCTGTAGATTTTTTATCTAATTTTGTAATGAAACAACACAAAAATGCTAAAAAAATACACAAGTCCTGTCCATAGTTGGTAGTGGCATCCTTGCGTAGTCTCGAAAACTGCATGAAGTTCCTTTTGTAACCTCAAACATTGTCAAAGGGGAAGTCATGCCACTGAATAGTTTCCACTTTTAGAACAAAAGGAGGAAAATATTCAGTCTATTATGTATGTTTGTATGTATACAGGAAGAGTAACTCTCACCACATTTTACAATATAATAATTCACAAGTATTGTTACATGTAAAGTACATAACCTTGGTTCTTTTTTATGTTGACACTGTTTCGGTACATTGTAATTTATAAATTGTAACACAGGGTCTTTTATTGCCGATCAAAACACTTGTTTGTCCTGCACAATTAAGGCCAGGCATATTTGTGTTTTTTTAAAACTATTTTGTACATCCTTTTAACAGTCATTTGACTGTTTAGGCCGGGCATTTTCGAAAACAAATTAGAAGGCCCCCTATTTGAGTAATTACATGTAGTTGAACTTGGTTTGATTGAATACTCAAATATTTTAATATTAAAAATGCCAATCAATCAAGCTTTCCATGCGCCAGCCTAAACTACATGCGCCGGTCGGGAAATGCATCAATTGGCCTATACCCCTGTCAATCTTGACAATTGAGCTTTAAAGGGAATACACAACATTTGCAAACATTGGAAAACAAAACTACCAAATTGTTACGAAATTCCTTAATTAAATGAAAGTCTAAAGCATCCTGTAAAATTATGGCACCTGGTGTGAAGTCATTTTCAAGAAAAGTGGTATTTTGTATAAATTACCTACGGTGGTCGGCCGACCACCGTTGGAAAAACCTAACTATTTTTCAACTACTGCTCCAAATTTACCTTTTTTTCAGTCCAAATTTTGTTTGCTATTGGTTTCATGTTCATGAACGGGTGCAGGCCAGCTAGACTGGTTTCCTTACCTTACAATTTTCGGGCATCAATAAATTGATTCATTTCATCTTAAGTGAAGTCAGGGAACCAGACTACTTGAACATATTTGTTTTTCTAGGTTTTTCCAGCATTTTCGAACACAAAACTTCAAACTTGTCAGTGTAACAGTATTTTGATCTATTAAACTAACCCCTCAAATAGTTCATTTCTGAAAATTACAGCAAAAGCCAATGATGTACATTCCCTTTAACCCTCCTATGCAAACATACATTCTGTGCCAAGTTGTCCTTTCAGTCAAAATCAATCAAGTGACTGTTTTCAACAGTGAAGAGCTCCCAGCCGGCGTAAAGCAGGATTGACCGGCTGTGACTGTTTATGTAACTTGAAATGTCAGCTAATGGCAGCTTTGCTTGGACTGTAAACTTGCCTGTTTTTGTCTGTTGACTGAATTTGACTAGTCACAGTGCAGAAGGCCTGGCATGACTAAATGTTGATGGAGTATGATGGACTTGGGCCTAATGGCCTGAAGCAGTGCTAAGGGTATCCGATTGATTTTGCCTAGCTTCCTGTACTACTATTGTGATAAAAGCCATGCGCAGCAAGTCCATGAATGTCAACCAGTGTCTCAGTGGTGGATTCCATTATGTCATGTACAGTTTTGTATTAGTCGCACAGTGATTGATGGATTTTGATAGAATTGGTCCAGTTCCTAGTAAAAGACACTCTGGGTAGCTACTAGAAACTTATAAGATTAAAATAACATCACAGACGTAATTTCATCATCTTCGTAAGACCACTCACATTTTTTTAAATGGACAAATGTCATAATCGGATATTCGATGGGTGACCGAATATTTGAATACATACGGTATACTCAGCACATCCCTACCAGTTGATAATTATGAATAGTTCATCTTTTTAGAAAATTAGAGTCTACAGTGTGATCCAAAAAAAAAAAAAAGATCATACTCCCACTACCCTGAGACTCAAATCACCTACAATGCAGATACCAATTGATGAAGAATCCTTTTAGAAGAATTATGGTACCAAAATATCCCAATGCGGTCCTCCAGTAGTTTTTGCTGCAGAGCCTATTTTGTGTAGTACGCTTCTTTCATGTGGGTATTATTACTGTACATCAATCGCTCCATCAATTACAATGTAAGTCACATTCCTGGGCAGGGTTCATCGGGACAAAAATGCCCCCACCTTGCTTCACAAAATAGGCTATAGAACAAAAACTACTGGACCGAGTCAGGCGACATTGGTTTCATTTTTCTCCTAAAAAGATTCTCTATGCACTGGTACATACATTGTTGTACATGTAGGCCCCTACTTATGTGGTTTGAGTCTCAGGGTAGTGAAAGTATGAGGTTCAGTTTTATAGGTTTTTTTTATCACCCTGTTTAAAGTTTTAAATTGATTGGCTCTATTTCTGTACCAATAGATTTTAAAAAAAATTAAAATGAAAGGTTTAATTGAGACTCCACATTCATTTAGTTGTGGTTTGTCATCGTCTCACCCCATTATTCCCCTCTTAAATCAAAACCCTGTGATCTTTCCAAGACCTTCCTGATGCTTTTCAACATTGCCAGCTGCATGGTACTGTGGTGTCCAATGGTGGATCTTCCTTTTCAGGTCAAGATCCTAAACTACAATGTACATGTATATACTTCCTCGTGTACATCATCATGGTTCCATTACAATTTGTGACCATCCAACACAAAACCTAGTCTGAGCTTCATCCGTTATCCACGGAGCCCAGACTCCTGCATAACATCTGATATATCAAAGCATGCAGATTTATGCGATCTCGCGTCTCAGCCAATCAGAGTCGACTTTAATAAATCCTGACGTCATTACATTCCCAAATCAGGACTAAATGTTTGATTGGTCAATGCGAATGCAGTGTAAATACAACAACAGTCGAGCACGTATCGCGTAACGTATGCAATACAGAGCACGTGACACGGCCTTTGTTGCTGTGTCTAGGTTTTTTTATCCACGTCTACGACACGACAACGGATGAATGACCGAAGACCCGATGTAGAAAGCGCCCGCTGATTGGTCAAAATCTAGAGGTCAAGATGCGGTTTTCTTACATAATTAATCAGCGAATTTGCTAAAATGAAATAGACCATGGCGGACTTCACAAAACCGGTCTATTGGAACAATTATTGAAAACTGGGATTTTAGGCTTTATTAGAAAGGACACTAAACAGGCTTTCAAATAAAGTATAGAATAAGGGAATCTGACAAAATCTGAGGGAGTTAAACAAGTACATGTAGGTATTTTCAGGGGGGTTAAACTTATAGTTTTTGTAGTCATTTTAGCACCTTGGATTCACAGGCAAAATGTGTTATTGTCAGTTTTTATTTGTTAAATAAGGCAGAGGGAAAGCTTCGTATTTGATGTGATAAGAGGTTTTTTGTTTAGTAGTTTCTTAGAGGTTTTTAACTTTTACCAAAGATATGTACGGACAAACTATAACGGGATTTACTGTAACGTGAGTTTATATCGCAATATACAATGTACATACATATATCCCTCTAGAGATTTTATGATTGATTATTTTATCTGTATGTATGGAAGTCGAATATTGTGCTCATGAGTGCATTGACAACTGAATGCTTGTTGGACTTTCCCCCTGTTTAAAATTTGGTTTACACAACAAAAGTAAGAAAATCTCTATTTATTTTAAGAAAAAAAATTCTCACCAAGGTTTGAACCCTGCACCTTTGGAAATAAAACATAGAACATGAGCAAACAGATAATAATATACAATGACATATTTATTATTTCCACTTACATTGTACTTCCAGAACTGTAAGGTTTTTACAAACTTACAGAAAGACCGATTGAAGTTCTGTACTTAGCAGAAAATTCTCAATTTTTTCAAACCTCCAAACTCTCCTGTCGCAAAATGTTTGGCCTCAACATTTCACAAGGGAAAGATTTCCATATACGAAGTTCACTCAACACCCTGTGTACAAACCCTATAAGATTGGACTGAAAAATTCTAAGTGTTTTCTAAGAAAATGCTTGTATTTTCTCACTGCTCAAATTGACTTTGATGACATGAAATTGCTATCTGGGGGCTTGTTAGTCAATACAGAGGAAAAGAAGTGAACTTCGTATATGGAAATCTTTCCCAAATGTGAAATTTACCAGAATTTCATTCACCAGGATCATTGGAGTCTTGCACTCGGCCGTCTCTCATCATTTGCCGTCGACTGAGGGCGCTTTAATTCTCTTGACCAACTACAGCGCGGCTTTCATTTCATTGCGCGAGGCACGGAGACACTCTCGGAATAAAAGCCGCGCTGTAGTTGGTCAAGAGAAAAAATTGAGAATTGTCTTCTAGCAACTTCACTTGGTCTTTCTGTGTAAGGTTTGTAAAAACATTACAGTTCTGGAAGTCATTTCCACTACTTCAGTCATGTTAGTACTTCCAGGAATAAGTTGCAGCTTGCAACTCGTTATTCCATTTAAAAAGAAATACTGAGTTGCAAGCTGCAACTTATAATTATCATGAAGAAGGTGCAGTGGATATTTTACTGTGAACCGGTCCCCGATTGTTTGAAGTTTTATACCGGCACGGCACATAAGCAGTGACCGTTTTTTGGGGGGACATCAAAATCGTTACCGTGACAAATCTGGTTCTGCGCTAACATTGTTGTCGTGACTCTGTGTTTAAAGAGATGAAAATCAGACCTACATGTACATGTACATTTGTATATCACCCTGTATATTTTATGTGTAAAATATTTCTTTTTTTTTAATTAAAGAAAAAAAATCTGCCAGAGCCAAAAATCAGACAACGTAAATGAAACGCTCTGCAATTAAAATGTAGGATTCAAATTAAAACAATAAAAGATGACAATTCTTATTTTGTTGACAGAAACAAATTTCAAAACAATATTAGAAGACAACTCTTTGGGACTCTAACTCAAGCAGCATTGGTTGCGAGGCGGGCATGCTACATGTATGCACTAGGCCACGCATTCGCATGAAGAGAAATAAAAATTTAATATCTTATATTAAAGGGAAAATACAACATTTGCAAACATCAAAAAATAAAACTACCAAACCATTTTGAAATACCTTGCTGGACTGTTAGTGAATGACAGTGTAAAGCATCCTGTAAAATCATGGCACCTGGTATACTGTCATTTTCAAGAAAAGTGGTATATTTGTATCAATTTCCAACGCTGGTCGGCCGACCAGCGTTGGAAAAAAACTGGCTTTTTTTCAAATACTGGCCCCAATTGACCATCGCACTTGTTTGCAATCGATTACACACCTATGAACGGGTGCAAGCCAGCTAGACTGGTTCCCTGACCTTACAATTCCCCAATGTATGTAAACTGCTCTGTTTCTTCTAATATGGAGTCAGGGAACCAGACTACAGAAAAACGATTGTTTTTCTTGGTTTTTATAGCATTTTCGAACCCAAAACATCAAAAAAGTCAGTGTAACTATATTTGCTATATATTTCCAAAAGGCCCAATTCCATCCATTTCTGGAAATTACAGCAAAAGCAAATGATGTATATAAATATTCCCTTTAAAAGTTATACTTATAGTTATACTAGGGAGGTCGGCGTAACGGGTTCGATCTTCATTTGTATCTATTTGCGTGCGAAAGTGTGTTTCAAACTGGCGCAGTTTAACCTTTTCTTGAAACTGGAACAGTTTCTCTGATGAGATGATTACAGAGAGAAATGATGGATCTTTCCAATGATATCTTTGTTTTGGATGATCGCCATATTCGAAATCGTGAAATCTGGTGTTGAAAATTATGTTTATTTCTGGGAAGTTGTGATCGCAGTCGCCCTGGGAGCGGCCATCTTGTTTTTAGCTCGTGACATTCACTCACGTTTTGTGGCGAGATGTGCCGAGATTTCGTTGGACAAAAATAGAAATGACATCATAGTAAAGCCAAAGAAAATCTCTTTCGACTCATACCAAGAAGAGGTACGCTCGATTTTTTTTGGCCTTCTGATTTGGGAGATTTTTTCCGACGAAATAAAGGTACAGATTGTCATGATTTTTGGGCCGAAAAATCATTAAAAATCTCACATGAGGAGTTCATGAAAGACTAAAAAAGGGGTAGTTTCTGAAAGGTTGGAATTTCAGGAGTTTGTGTGACTAGTTTTTTGGTTATGTTTCCCATGACGCTTTTTGACGCTGGGGGGTTTTGTTGTCGGGGTGCCTTCAGCAAGGTGATTAAAATATGGCGCGCGGCGGTGTCACAATGGCTGCCTATTTCTTCCTCCATGCTTTATGCCTGCATGAAGCAATAATATTTCAATGCTGTGATTACTGGGGTAAATTTTGGTGGATAGCTTTATTGGGGAAATTTTCATTATACAAATACAAATTCTGCTAAAAAAAAATTAATATAGTAATATTTCAACTGTTTCTGAATATTTTCCAATCTTGAACTAAATTTGCATTAAACATGTTAAATTTAGCTTATTTTTGTCTTTGCTTTTTTTGCCCTAGGCTTCTAGTTCCTGAATAAGTTTAGTCCAGAGTCTAACCAGACTGTTCTGAGTACAATGTATAATGAAGAACAAGATTCAATGTTTTTTAAAAATTATTTTTGAATATACATCTCTGCATAAGGCCAAAAAAGGGGACAAAATAAATATAAAGTTAATTCCCACTGGAACCTACATATTGAAGAAATGTTGTCTGTCATCAAATACTTCCATACTTTAAAGATATACTTTTGCTAAGTTAAAAACCCTTTTTTTTTTTGGCCGTAAAATACTTTCAACACACAGTTGGGTGAATGTTAATGCAAGGTTTCCATGCATTTCTATTTTAGGTCCCTGGATTCAGGATTCCCATCCTGGTTCAACCTCAAATATGACAGCTCCGAGAAAATTTACACATACCAGCTATTAAAGGACTACCATAAAGAGGACCTGAGGATACAAATTTAGGATAATATGATCTCATCTAAATGAACTTGAAAATGTTTTCCAAACCTTTCTCAAATATTTTGAGGTGATTTGGATTTTTCTTTTTAATATTACACCCCGCACCATGCCGACAGAATAATTCGGGTTGGACATGCCCCTTTAATGGACCATAACTTCACCACACTTTAAGATATAAACTTATAATTGGTACCATTAGATTTCTTTTTGGAAGCTCTTTCCAATGATACCAAGTTTGTAATATTTGGACCAAAAAACCCCAAAAGTGCCGACCACCCTAGTTATACTAGTGTAGGCCTACTATTAGTATACATGTAGCTCTACTGAGTGGAGCGTTGAATTACGGGTGCCCCTCCATATGGAGGGGCACCCGTAATTCAACGCTCCACTCAGTAGAGCTAGTATACATCATGTAGGTACATGTGCTATATGAAAGTCGACTCATTCATATGTCATTTGTAACTGGAAAAATGCAAACCGGCTAAATAAACCTTTGTAAAGTTAATGAGTGATAGCAGATGTGCCTATGAAACTTACCCAAAAGCTGTCCACAAAGCGGCTCATTGTGACGTGTTCGGATGTTCCGTCCTCTCAAATTACACCAGACCTCAGCGACTCGTGAGTGTACTGTACATGTAGGTCTAGGCCTAGTTGTTTTTGTACAGTGTGTAACTTGTACACAGTCGATCTGCACACGTATAGCACTGAGGCTCTGAGCACGCACCACCAGTGCCAAATCAATGACACCTTTTCACGTGTAAAAGTTGGTATTCCAATCATGAAACTATGAGTAGGCCTAGAAATGAATAATGCGATATCGAAGTTTTAAATTCATAGTGCACAATGTTCTAATGAAAACTCTCTACTGTCTCTAGTCTTGTAAATCCGGATCTTCCGTGGCTGACTTTACTACCCGGAAGTCATACGGTCGGAAATCCAAGCCCCGACCGCAGCCAGCCGGCCAGACGGGTACCAAATCCCCATCCAATTCGATCACCACACGAAGACGTGCAGAACTTCCACATCCACACAATCACAATCCCGACGACTGTTGTATGAAATAATTTCATCGCATGGGGGCGCTAGACGCAGGACCGTTCGGCGCGGCAGAGAGCTAAGCGGCAGAGTGGTTGCATTGTATTTGATTACAATGAAAGATTGCACAATTGAAGAGTATGTAATGACTAGACTCGAGTCCGACTGTGGTCCCTCAAAATGTGGGTTCAAAAAAAAATTACGGCGTGGGTATTCTAGATGTTCTGAGGCGTGATCTGAGGCAATTCTTATATAGGAAAAGATGTTGGTGTACGCAGTGCCTGCCTTTATTGCGACGTCACTTAAACAAAAAAAGGGGGTTCTTTTTTTTGGGGGGGGGGGATGCCCCCATTGCCCCCCCCCCTCCCCGATCCTCGAATATAGGTTTTCTCAGCCAATTTCCGAATTTTTCTGATCACTTTCATTATCTGTCATTCAATTTCTCAGGATTTGTACACATCTGATCAAATTGGGGTTTCTTTTTCGTTGTTGGGGCATTCAATTTCAATTTCAATTTCTAGGCACCCGGATTTAGTTCCTAATGTTCGTTTTCGTTTGGGGGAATTCTATTTCGTTTCGGTGCATTCAAGACTAACATGTAGCACTTACATTAAGTTTTTGACATCTTTTGACGGTTGACGCATTATTAGCGAATGTCGGTGCGCATATGACGTACGTATGGCCATGCTTTTCTTTAGGCTTCTTCGGTTATGGGTAAACATCTTCATCGTTTGGTCATTCAGATTAATAAGATTTGTTAATTGATATTTTTCCTGTTTCCTTCTGAGGTTCGTTTTTTCCCCAAAATCTTTAAATTTGTGTCTGTGAAATTTATAATGCAACAAATCAACTGATATCATGAGGGATAGGGATAGCTGATGTAACGAAATTATGCAATGAAAAGGGCTAATATGCGGATTAGTAATGTTTTTTACAGTGTTGATCTTTTCTACTTGTTTTAAAGTTTGAACAAATCTGTCAGGGGCATCTTTATGTTGGCATGTTTATTAATCCTTTAACTTTGTTTACTGTTCTTTTTCTTTCTGTTTTTGTAAAAAAAAAAAATTATAGCTGATTCACTCATCGATCTTTTGACGTGCAAGACACAGTGGCGTAAACAGGGGAACCGGGGCTTGCGGACTGGGGACCATTGCAACGGGCTAGAGATTTTAAAAGCGATTAAACCGGGACGCTGATGGGAGCAAAATGGGGACCGCGAAATCGGCCTGTCGGAAAAAATCCTGCGTCCGTCGGGAAATTTGCAGGGATGAAGAGTGATAGTGTCCATTGTTCGCTTTTAACGGTGTCCCTATTAGAAGATGGTGCGAACTCGACCACCACTGTGACTCGACTCGATTCGACTCGACCTTGTTGAGCTAATGACTCGACTGAGTCGACTCGACTCGACTCGAGTCACTTCCTTACAATTACTCAACTCTACTCGAGTCACAAAATAGAGTGACTCGTTACAACTCTGAAAAGGTGCCTAGAATTTAGACAAATACAAAAACCTGAGTAAACAGACGAGGTCAAAAATTGTACCACGTGCCAACTTTCGTGGGTACGACCATTTTTATTATTTGTTTCAAAAATGCTTTCTAGATCATTTTTACATATACATATAATATCTGAACGCATTCACAAATCAAAAGTTTCAAGAATATATATATAAGTCCTTTGTAAAATTATATTAGAGCATTTGTCATCTTCCTTTCGATTGTTTAAAAGTTAAAATTCTCTTGAAATCAATTAGTTTCGTCCTTAAAGGCGATAAGAAAGGTGATTTCAATATTTCAGAATAAATGGTTCAATTGAATTCCATAAAAAACCTATACGTCCCTTGATTTTGCGTATTACAATACGATATTCGTAGGTATAGAGCCACTTTTAACATGTATGAAGAAATGCGATATAACCGAATGTGCGTTGGTTTTGTCGTTACTGGTCTATTTGTCAAGAAGTCATGAAAACATATTTAATGTTTCGTGTCTTGCAAAAGATGAATAAACTGTGGTAAATGCAACTTCTGGATTGAAAACCGGGACTTTTGGAGGGATATCCAGTGTTAGGCCTACTGTGTTATTATGCGTCTGGCCAAGATCAGGAATTATATTAATCAGAAAAAAAACATTTAAAAACACAACTGATCACTCCGTTCAAAAAAAAATGGAAAGTTCTAAGTTTTGAGGATCACACACGAGTCTCAAAATACGTTTTAAGGGGACGCAGAGCAAAGCACCCCCCCCCCCAAAAGTTCACAAACATTCGAAAATCCCCGCAACTTATGCGCCTATCAAACTTACCCCCCCCCCCTCCCCAGATCCGATGTCGGGATTTGGTCACGTTTTTCACGCCCCAGGGTGGGGATTTTGGTCACTCAAATTACATTGTTACCATTGGCGTACTACAAAGGCAATCACTCGTGCGCCCACACATGTATGTCGGGGCTTGGTCGGGGATTGTCACTTCAGTATAAATTTTGACCGAGGGGTGGGGATTTTGTCACTTTAAAAGTGGCAATCCCCACTCTTGGGTGGGGCAGCCCAGGGGAGGGGTGGGGGAAACATTATTTGAGGCACATTATAGTCCAAAGTATTTTTTAAAAATTGTTCCCAACAAAAAGGCCCGTGCCAGGGTGCGTGAACACACACAAAGTCATGTAAACGTGTGTATTAGCCTGCAATCGGGGACCCCCTCTAACTTTTTAGGAAGACCTCCCATGTGTTTTGTACAGAATCGCCAGATTGGGGACCTTCGGGAATTGGGACCCATCACAGATAATTTTTCATTAACTTTTCATTGTTCTATTCAATGCTTCTTTTGACATTTTTTTGTACAACGGCTAACCGTTTTGATCAGAAAAATCATGTCGTCCTATTTTTCCCCCGGCGTCATCACAGAACATAACATTCACGCAAATGCACACACACTTTCTGAACTCCGGGCCGGCAAAAAAGTGATCGCCAGCTTTTGGATGAACCACTAATCATAATTCACACAGTTTTTGTCATTCCAATTCTAAAAATTCGTACTTAGGGGGACTTGGATGATTGAAATAATTTGTGTAAATTCCAAACTGAAAACGTTGAACCAAATAATCATCCTCCTGTCATCCCTAGCCTAGCCTTAACTTGAACAGTGCAATTAACGTATACCGGTCGATAAACGCAAACAGATTTAATGATGCAAACTTGTTGCTGCATAATAAGAGACAATTGAAAAAGTGTTCTGTTATACTAATAAACTTAATATATACAATATGCTAAAATCTATCACTGATTGAAATTGTCTTAAAAATGCCAAATCTTATCTGAGTGTAAATTCTTAATCTCAATGCAGCATTGCTATAGTTTTGCTGGCGTTGTTAATTTGGGCGTAATCCTCGATAAGCACCCCGGGAAAAAAATGACAAGTGCCAGAATAGCATGGATAGCTCACTCAGAGCGCCTGGTTCGCAAGTTCTCCGGAACTTCCGAGTTCAGATCCCACTTCAGTAAATCATTTTGTTTAGAGGTAACCGTGTTATTATAATTGACTAGCCTATATCATGGTTAATTAAACTTGTGCAGTGTTGAAGTGTACTGAATATACCTTCATTAGAAGGATTCCGTTACCGCTGTGCAGACAACCAGGGTGAAGATGAAATTCCATACTTCATAAAAACAGTCGCCTGTTAAAGTGAAACAACTATGCTCCGGATTTTGGGGCGCTTCGATCAAAACCATTCATTTCAGATCCCCCTTCCCTTTTCGTATAGAAAATCACATCTAGCGTGGTTTGATAGTGTAAATCCTTGGCATAAGAAAGGCTAAGAGTACCAATAAATTGAATAAAAACAAACCAGCTGAATGACCACATGTCTGTGGTCACAGAGCCTTTAGCTCTATGAAATCTGCCAGCATAAAGCTGCTAATGCAACGACAAAAGTGTGCAGTTTTTATACCAGGATGTTACATCCATCGGTACTCAGTGGGGCACTGGGCGTGGCACATTGGTTTCTTTATCCCTTTCCTTTACCCATGAATTGCAATTCAGAGGACGGGAGATATCTTGGCTGGATGTTACCCATACGTGACAATGAAAAGCGTTTGCTACAAATTGTAGGCTTCGTCTATATCGGTGCCCGCGATCTCATGGGGCGCTGTTAATGTTAGGAATCGCCTGAGAGATGTGTCGCAACTTTCTGGCAAGCGTCGCATTCGGTGAGGTTGAAGGTAATGAAACAAGTACATGTACATATAAGCACCGCACTAGCGGTCAACCACAACCTTTCTGATTCCATCACACGATTCTGCGTCTGGTACCTGCTGGTATTTACCAGCGATCTGCTTAAAACCACTGAAACGAACCCGTACAAGCAAAGACAGTCCGGGCACCATCTGTTTCATCAACCTGTAATTACTTATCTTGACCGATAAGTATCATAATCATCATGGCTCTATTCTTTAATCATTCACCCGACATTTCCGGGACGCATGTTCCCTCTCTGTACGGTTGCAGAGTCTCTTCAAGCTCATGTCAGGCCCGAGCCTCGGCCACGGGCGACTCGGGCGTCTCGCTGATGGAGGGCGCTACCCTCACACGCGCCCTCAACTGTTTAAACTGGCGCACGATATCCGTCACTTCCGTGGCCAAAGGCACGACGATGATGAATATGGCGGCCGTGAAGGCCCAGGTGTCGGTCAGGTTGATCCAATGCTGGAACTGGTTCTTGTTCAGGGTGAAAAGCGCCGTCATGATGACGGGCCAGATCAGCACCATGAGGACGGTGATTCCCAGGCCGATGGCCAGGGTTGTGTATCTGGCCAGCTTGAACTCCTGCAGCATTTGTTCTAGGGAAGGTCGGTTGTAGACCAGCTTCATATCCGTGATGTTGAATTCCCTGTTGATAGCATAAAACGACCACTTTTTGAAATATGTTTAGTTTGGTCTCGCAAGTCCTTTTTCATAATGGTCCAAATGTCACAGTGCCCACTGACAGAGAGCTCTAACAGCGTGCAGCCTTTAACAAAGACAAGTGACGTGCACATACAATTCTCTGTTTTACGAGTGGTCAGCTCCCCGGTTTACATTTTGGAATCAAGCCTTCCAAGTCAGGTGGATTGCAAACCGGCAACGAGAGTCAATAAAGTTTAATAGAGAGGCTGTTGCAGGAGCTAGGAACTAGTCTGCAAGCGACTGCAATTGGCAACCTCACTTCCCTTAGGACTACCCGTTTGCCTTTAAAAGTCTTTGCATATCATGACTAACGATTTCATACATTGACACTGGTATAAGCGCACTTCTGAAGTTCTGATATTTTTCTTGTTGACAAACATGAAGAATGAGGAGTCATATTTGTTTAAGGGTCCCATTATCTTAAGCTGAATGAAACAAAAAAGGTGATTAGTGAGCCAGTCAGAAAGTAGACATGAAACGAAGTCGGTAATTGGCCGGGCTTAGGCTGCATCCGAATCAACTGTCTAGAGCTAGGTCTAGGTCCGCGCCCATTAAAAATACGCGAGGACGCGCTGACAATAGACGTAGCCGTAGCTCTGGAAGCCCGTTTCGGACACGGCCACGGCCTTAGTTCGCCCGCCGCGCACTGCCTACCGCGGCGTGGACAGATACAGCAATACCGTCCCAGGGTATACATGCATAGCGTGCGATATTGCACTAACATGCGGGGACGGTCTGTGCATCCTCAGCCCCAATATGCGTGTAGGTCGCTACACATGTCCAGGCCAGCAAATTATAATAAACACGATACATATAAGTGTTGGGAGACGGTGACAGACAACCATGACTGTCTAGTGACTTGTCCTCAAGTCCAGTCAGAAAGCTCGATCCGAGCCAACCACTCGTCCAGCAACCCAATAGCCGAACAGTATTAAAAAAAAAACCACTATTTTGTGAACCCGCCCTTTCCAGCCCTCACAACTCCACAGACCGACTTACTTGACGTATAACTCCGTCCACGGTGAGAGTGGGTTGTCAATATCTCGTGTCTTCTCCCATATCTCTTTCCTCTCCTGCTGCGAGAGGGGGTGTTTGGTGAGGTAGGTCACGCCCACTGCGATAAGGCCCCCGGATAGAAGTGATGTGCAGTTACCGATGAGCATGCTCAACTCAAAATTGTTATCTGTGGGAAGGGTCATCGGTATTCATAGCAATTAGAGGTCCAACATCATATAATAGATTAATAAGGTAAACAGAGGTGCATTCGAGTTTAACCCAGCTTTGTATTATAGACCAAGAAAATAATGCTCCTTTTTCTTATAGTTATTAATACTTATTTCTGGTAATGAAACCATGGATTCCTCAAAACCTTCCTGGGCACTTTGGCTCGCAAGCCTGAAGAAACCAGTAAAAAGTACACAACGAGATGAGTTTAAGAAGTGAGAGGAATACACCAGTAAGAATAATCACGGAACCAAGTAGGGGCTGAAATCCAAATCCACATGTGGAATGTGACCTGGGCAGGCAGGAATTGAATCTGGGTTATCCGCTCCGTTCACAAGTATACCCCCTCACTGGCAAAGAAAGTACAGTTGGGGGTGACCGACTGACACCATCTTGCCTGACTGCAATTTTGCCGCGCGGCGCGGAAAGAACCACGGCACCAACCTGACTGCCCTTCTCTTGTAATAAAGGAGTTTGTTACAATGTGCCATTTTTGCGGGCCGTTTCTCCTTGTTCAGACACTTTGGTCATTATCTTGGTGAAAGGGAAATTGCGATTCAAAACAATCATTCGATACGCTCAATAAAATGATTCAGTGCAAAGGTAACTTCATCGTGTTTCCTGCTAAGTTTAATAAATGATTGAACTAAATCGCTCTGTGTACTGCGTTCCACAGGTAACTTCTGTTTAAAAATATGCACCTCCTGTGTTTATACCGTACCAACATTGTAAAATCAGCTGTAGTGCACACACAAACAATTAGAAAAAGCAGCTTCTGTATTGCAAACTGAAATTGAAAATCTATTGTCACAATTATTGCACTTTTTAGGCGTTTTACCTTCTGAATTCGTCATGAATGCCGAAATATCAAACTTCTGATACAAAAGTGAAGCGGACACCAACCAGGCCGTGATACCAAGAACCATGCCGATGAGGGCGCCGCTGGCCATAGCCTTACTGGTCAGGCGCGTCCAAAAGGTTCCGAGGACGAGAGGAACGACAGAGGAGCCAATGAACACACCCATGGCGGAGTACACGCCGCTCAGAGTTACCTGAAAGACAGAAGATTAATAGTCACTTGCAATTGACCTAAGACATAATGACGTCATGTTTGTTTATTTGTATACGCTTTCCTATGGGAGATTTGTGGATCTCGTCCCCTGACTCCCATAGGAAAGCTCACATACAAACAAAGTATGATGTCTTAAGTTTACTGTGGTAAATATTACAGTGCCCGTTTGGAAGAGACCGAACCGTTTACATTGGTCGAGACCGGTTTGGACACCGACAAGACATAACTGCTTGGTCGAGGTGGTAATCGGTAATGGTATCAATGTTGGCTGAGGCAGTGCTAATTTGGCGGAAGCAAACTGGTTTGGCACAAACACTGACGGTTTGGTGCAAACAGAACCGGTTTGGGTGAGGCACAACCGGTTTAGTTGAGACAGTGCAGGTTCAGTAAAGATAGTGCCGGTTCGACCAAGACAGTGTTGGTTTGGAAAAGGTCGTCCTGGTTTAGATGAGACAGTACCGATTGGGATGAGACAATGAAGATTTGGGAGAGACAGTGTCGGTTTGGACAACATAGTTCTGGTTTTGATGAGACAGTACCAGTTAGTATGATGCAGTGTCGATGGACAAGATAGTTCCAGTTTGGATGAGACAGTACCAATTGGGTATGATGCAGTGTCGATTTGGGCGAGACAGTGTCGGTTTGGACGAGATAGTTCCGGTTTGAGATGACAGTGCCGGTTTGAACTAGACAGTATCGGTTTGGTCGAGAGAGTGCCTGATCAATTGAAACAGTGCTTGTTTGGACGAGACAGTACTGGTTTGACCAACAAGATAGTACCGGTTTGGACAAGATAGTGCCGGTTTGGACTAGACAGTGCTTGTTTGGCCTAAAACATGACATGCACTTCAGCAGAGATTTTGAAATTTCTAAGTACAACTTTAAACCAGCGTTGTTGCAGTTCAAATGACACTTGAAATATACCTATGTTTCAGTCGGAGACATTCAATAGGCCTACCCAAATATACATATATTTTTAAACTATTATTTCCTATTCACTTACAGACGCTTTACAGATGGCAAACGTACGGAATTATTTCATTAAAAAAATTCTACTGCATTATGCTCCGTTTACATCACTTTACAGTGTTAAATCCAGGTTTTGTGGTTAGAAAGTCGCATTTCCACGGAATAAGGTGATACTTTGTATTTACCTTATTTGTATTGAATAGAGGGGAATAAAATTTAAAGTTGAGTGTAGGCCTAAGTGCATTAGTCTGAGTGACGACGTCACAGATGGAACAAAATCGTCCTGGTAAATGTCAAAAACTACTGGAGCGATAAAGCGATTTACGGATGAATGTCCCAAACAAAGTGGGAATACCGAGAAAGGTTTTCACGATTGGAAGAAGAGTTGAGAGACATAATGGTTGGAATTTCAATTAATTGAAACACCTTACAGTTGGATACTTTCCTTTTCCAAATTAAAAAAAAAATTCAAAAAGACGCCGCTAGCAATGCATGAATGAAAAATCTACAAGGAGTTAGCACTTTTGGAAGGTTTTTGTGTATTAAATAATACATTGCAATACTCCAGTCAATCTTTCTTCTCATCTTTCACAAAGAGTGACAGAATAATCTCGAAGCCGTAAAAAGTGCATTGATTTCCCTTGTCGGCAAAATCCTTTAAATAATGTCGTAATATTTTATATTTATTGACGTTAGTTCGTTTGAATTGTATCTGCTTTGACAAAGCTCAAACGATTTGTGTTGATTCATTTTTTTTTTTACACAAGTTGTGCTAAACATTATACGTAAAGCAGATAGTGCAGTTCGTTCGGTATTCGAAGGGCGTTTGTGAAATTTCGGTTGGATCACACAAAATAGTGCGAAATGTATACCTGCGTCCAAATGTGCTCTACCGTCCAAATGTGCTCTACCGTGTAAACTGACGTACACCACTTACGTTACAGTAAACGAATATGTACATATAATTATTTGAGTCTTATCAAGCATCATACAAGTACAATGTCTTATTCTTGAATATTTACTTTGATGCACAAGGATGCCCACTGACTGCCGTAAGATCACAGTGCCTTTGGATTTACTGTCTCCTTTATGTTGAAAATATCAAATTAGTAATGAAATGACTCTAACTAATGTTTATGAAACAAAATACAATCCTTTAGACTGAAATTATTTATTACTTGACCACACTGCATTAAACGCGCGTTTATCTGGGTCAGCACAGTTCTACCGCGTCAAATCGCCGGACTTACGTAGTCACCTGCCGTGCGTCGCTGGGGCATATATCAATTATTGAATTCGACCGGCCATCAGGTAAACAAAGGACTGCCGGCGAAAATCTGGGTCAGCCTCGAAACTGAAAGCTTTGCAAATATGGCCTTCTTCCTGTCGATGTCCGCGGTCAGTAATAGTCCGAGAGACTTCAAGTTGAAGTCTAAATGCAGAATTTTTCTCGCAAGTTGTGGCACTTAAAATAGGCCATCTACATGTAGATTCGTGTGGCTGGGGATTATTGGGAAGTGCCTTCGTCAGAAATGACACCCTCTTGAGGATAAACGCTTGAGGTATGCACTAACTTTGCAATACAAATTGGATACTTAACTGCTATATTGGATGGTTTGACGGCACATCGGTCGTGTCCCCGCGCTTATTAAGAGTGCTTTAAATGCGAATAGTGATAATGTTTGGAAGAGACTATTTCAGACAATTTCAATTGCATAAGTGCTTTCCTTTGATACCCATCACGGGCAAGATATACATGTCATTTTGAAAAGTTGACCATAATAGTAAACATTTCTAGGTTTTTTTTTGAAAAACAAAACAGGGATTTTAAGAGATAGCACTATTTCTTCCTCCCAGCCGGTTTAATTTTTTTCTTATAATGATTTGCTTGTTTCTTCTGAATGGGAACTGAATATTTTTAACAATAGTAACCAAATTTTCCAAAACGTTCGTCATCAGTTGTTTCGATTTGTCTTGGCTTAGCTGACATTAATTTAAAGTTGGTATGTACGTTCTTTTTCAAACTTTCGATTTTCTTTTCTGGACGAAATTTAAAGGAATATCATGTCCTATAAGAAATAAATTTGACGGTTTTTGCAGGATTTATACAGTTTTAAAAAGTGGTTTTAAATGGCGCGCTGCAGTCCGGAAGTGATGAAATTATTTAATTGATTACTTGTCGTGGGCCGATTTTTGTTCGTGCGATGTCTCATTGGAAAGCTTATAACCAATGTAACGCTAGAAAATAATTCAATTTCAAAATCTTGTTTTCAAGGTGCCACACCCAATCAGTACGTGTACACCAACTTTAAGGCTGTTCACCTCTGAAAGTACAAATATAAACAGTTTGGGGAAGAATCATAACAAACCTTTTATAAATTATCTAAATCCGCACTCGATTCTTTCATAATTGTTTGGTATTAACGGCATATAGGATCACACGCTTGTCATACAGTTTGTTCGTATTAGATAATGACACCGCTCAAAAAGGATTGTTCAAAACCTAAGTATAAGTTTTTGATGAAAGTTCGTTAGGTTACTTTTGGGATAAATGCAAATGATCCTATATACGCATTTAAATACACACTATGGTGTTAAATTCCCACAAATTTCAAGTCCCAAAATGTTCCCCTGACAATCATGGAGGACATACCTGTAAGATATTGAAGACTAAAGTCAGTGGGATGATGGCGATAGATACCCACAGTATCGCCCAGTCTCGCTTAACTTTCAGCAATTCCAGATAGGTGCGATAGGGGCCGTGCGTCTTGCACTTGTAGGTCGGTTTGAGGGCGCGCTTGCATTCCTTTCGGGACCTGCGTATACAGGAAAAAAAAAGAGGACGGAAGAGAAGAGAATGTGTTTGTAAATAACACCGATATCATGTCAGCTTTTCACTAGCTACTGAACATTTTTTCCATGTTACTTTGAAACAAAGCACACAAGCGCGAACATGGTCACGACACTTCTTTTGTCACATCACAGCCAAAGGTTTTGGCCGATTAATAACAGGTAGTCAGCGGCCATGGTGCAGGAAAAAAAATGTTATAAAATACTTTAACAAATAGAGAACGCATTTAATATACTAAATCAATCATTACAAAGCCTGAATAGTCAATATTCAGTTACCAAGACTCACTAAAATATACATTTCTCAGGTGCTCTGGACGTATATACACAATAAATGTGCCGATGTTTGCAAAATCTGTTGCCAATGCCAACACTCACCTGTGGATACAAAATGGCGTTGAATATTGGAACTCCTGTATAAACTCCCACGCGGAGTATTTAGGAGAAGAACCAACCAAGAACCAAGATATACTATGAGTACACATAAAATAATGGTATATCGTATACAGCCCTAAGCTGTCAACGCGATGCGGGGATAAACCACTGATCTCCATAGATGACTCGTTGGCCATTTCAAGAAGTACAAAAAAGTGGAATGATTAATATACTGTCTTCTATAAAAGTATGCGAATCTTGTTTATCTAAACAGAAGTTTTATATAAAATATATTTTGTTGCCATTTTTTTTTCACAAAAAGTAATAATTTGTTGAGTAAAATGGGTACAGGTCAATTAAATTGTATATCTTCTTCACAAATCTATTGTTTTTGGAGTGGTAATATGGCGGACAGTAACCTCACTTCTAACAGCTGATGGGCTTTCCAGATTTTTTTTATTTGGGGATCGGTGAGATAAACGGAAACTCACCTGTTATCCGCTACGCATGACGTGCAGTTGCCCATGCTACAGCACGAGCACATATCTCTCTTATTAGCCATCCGTCCCCGCGATTTGCCGCACAGCAGACAGCTGTTGATATCGGCCGAGCTACGGTAGGGCTTCAGGTGGATCTGGTACAAGTCGTAGACGATGATGGAGGTGATGGCAATGACCTCAGCTGACCCCGTGGAGGTCACGGCCATCAGGATGAGTAGGACCATCAGAACCCCGCCCGTCGAACCCATCAGCTCCTTAGCGACAATGGGAGATACCAATCCTAAAACAATACCAATCAGACCATAATGTTTGAGCTTCAACGACGCCATTTTTGGAGTGGTCAATTCAAGCGTATAATGTCTGTGGAAGAGCTTTTAAGAGCTCATGCAGTGAATAAACCTGAAAATCATTTTTTTTTTCAAATCTTATACATCCATCATCTAGTAATGGTCAAGGAGATTAAAGACTAGGAGTTTTGGATCATTTCTCTGAATCATTACATGTACTTAGATATCATGGTTAATCGGCTCTGTCACGGACATGACACGTCCATTCATAACGTTGGAACTGCCGAAGTACTAACCTCCCAGGTTATTCGTGTAAATTTACATGATGTTGCTCGAATTCAAAAATTAGGTTTTTTTTATAGTTTATTATTGGAGTAAATTTGCTAAATTGATCAAATAATGTACCCAAATATAGCCTTTATAATTATACCCAGTTATAGCCTATAATTTCAACGATTTCTCGCAGGAAAAACGTTCTGACACAGGGACTGTGCATAGTATAGCTTGTGGTGTAGCAAGTTTTTTTTAATAAGAGACGTTGAAGGAATTCAAATTGTGGAAGCGTATGTTTGCCTGGACAGTCGAACTTGTTTTCAGAAATAGTTCCAAATAATCACAATTCAAATAATCCATTCGATATTCCCTGTGCATATCTCACTTGCACGATTTTCAGTTCGGAATTCGAGGAAATAAGGGCACACAAGACCATGGCGGTGGTGATATAATACCTGCACCTGCTGCAGTTGACAATGTAATCAAAATAAGTTGTAAATGCGTAAATGAAGCACGTTGCAGTTGAAAGTGTTCGGAATTTGTACTGCCGAACAAACACAACTGTTTCTGAATTTAAAGAGGTTGTGGAATGCTCGAAAACATTTCCGTCATTTTTTGGGTATATGTAGCCTAAGGTGTGATGAAATAAAAACGACTATTGTTTCTGTCATGAAATGAGTACAAAAGGTACTTTTGAGAGCTATTTTTAGTTCCTGTTTCGACCCGAACGTGCAATTTGTGTAAAAGTCGTCGTTGCGGGCAGCAAACAGAACACACTAAATCGTGACGTAATAAACAGGACTCGTTTATGCTACTCTGCATCGGGAGTCCTGTTTATTACGTCACGATTTACTGTGTTTTGTTTGCTGCCCGCAATGACGACTTTTACACAAATTGCACGTTCGGGTCGAAACAGGCATGACAGGACTTGAAAAACAGCTCTCAAAAGTACCTTTTGTACTCATTTTATGACAGAAACAATAGTCTTTTTTATTTCATCACACCTTAGGCTACATATACCCGAAGAATGACGGAAATGTCTTCGAGCATTCCACAACCTCTTTAAGCGAACACAGCCGGATCGTTCATCCCGAAGGTAAACAGGCCAATTTTTTTTATTTGTCACAGTTCAAAATAGCGGGGGTGGGGGGGATGAGACACCAAACTTGTCTCCTTTATACCTTGATTGACATGATCGTCTGTCAAGAGAGGTTGACCTTTACTGGTGCTGAGAGCCGTGTAGGCAAGACCCATGGTTGTCGAGAAGGTGAAGGGGATGGCGAACCACACCATGCCGCCCACCAGGAACCCCCACATCCCCTGACGGGGCTTGGCGGCCACACTGCTCTGCCAGTACGATTGATCCACAAAGACCGTGCCGAAATTTCCTGCAAGGACGAAATTGAATTGTATTAATACGAATCAGAACTGATTCCATCCTATATCTCTTGTTCGAATCAGTGTCACCTGTCACAGGACAGGTTCAAGGTTGTCGGGGATCCCGGGCCCACTTGCGAATGCGGGGAATTGGCAAAGGGTGGACACCCACCAAAAAAAAAGTCGGCCCCAAGTTCCCCCCCCCCTGCCCCTCCCCCACTGGAAATTTGCTAGTTCTTTATTCACAAGCGGTTTTTTTTAAAGAGTATCAATTTTTAACGTCGAAGAGCTACCATGAAGAGCGCCACCTACTGTTGGATAGTGTCCGTTTTGAAGGAATGAAAGATGGTGGAGAGCCCGTCCGCCCCGTCCGCCCCTTCCTCAGCCCCCCCCCCCCCCCCCATTTTATTATTTTTACATAGGCCAGGCGACTGGTGGAAAAAATCCTGTCTACCTTTTCAGGACGGATGCTACAAAATTAGGCGCCCCTCCCCCTGTAACAACAAGCCCCCCCCCCCCCCCCCCCATGGTGAGAATTCTAGCTACGCCGCTGCCTCCATGGATTCGTAAAATAACACACGAAAGAAATAAAGGCAGAAACAAAGGAAACCATAGAAGCTCTTACGCCGTTGCCTGCTCCCATTCATATTTTCCAGCTCACTGTCGACCTACTAATCATGGCAGACCTAATGTAGTCATAATGCCTGGTACACGGATCAATCAATGAAAACCCAGATTAAAGAGTCGTTGTAATGACGACAAAAGTTTAGATTGAGTGAATGACATTGGAGCTGTGAAAGCATCGATCTACGACGGTAGTTCTGAATTAAAAAGGGTCTTAATGAAGTTATAATGCCAGGTACTACTCATATTAAACTACCTGACCCAAAAATTCTCCGAAATGACGTAAGTGAATTGTATAAGAGTTCAAGTACGGCTGTCATTGCATAGTCACTTCTATGGTTAATATCGCAGCAAGGCGCCAAAAGGATCTCATGGGGCGGTTACACCTTTTCCGCGGAATGACATGGTCTAAACGTCGCAAGTAAATCGAACGCAAATAAGGCAAAAACAACCAATTAGTATGCGGGTTGTAAAAATCCAATTCCGCTGTTCTATTCCTACACAACGGCCAAAGTAATCAAATTTAAATCTAGTTCTGGAATGGGTTTTTATTCACCCAAACCCTGCGTCCTACAAAACGATATAGCCTCTTACAATGGCATTCATTAAAGTTGCATGGCATTCATTAAATTTGCATGGCTCTCAATTATTTTTTTCTTCAATCGAGTACAAGATTGCTTTACTTGACATGCAAATCCATCACAAGACTAGTAGCGAATATCACATTCACCTCGACTAAAGCACGCTCTCGGCACGAGGGATAAACGCTATCGGCATGATTTGATCGGTTTTCGTAAGTGGAAGGATTCTATTTGATGCTTCGAGCCTTAAATCAGACCAGTGGAATTCAATGCGGACGATAGCTTAGGATGAATTGAAGCCCTCGTGTATTTTCAAAGATTTCGAGAACATTCTTTATATGAGTCTTATTGCACCAAAAAAACCACGTAAACTATTTGTTTTTGGCATTACAAATATACACAAAATGTGATGCATATCCGAGTCGTTACCCAAAGACAAGTTCTAAGAGGCTGTCGATTAATGTCAAGATTATTAAAAATACATGATGATTAAGCGGAGTTTAATCGGGCTGATGGACGTGTAGATACCTCGATAATTTTTGATATCACTGATGTGGTTGTTAACTACTACGTCACACGCTGAACGCGTGAATGGCTGGCGGTCATTGGTGGAAAGCCTTTACGCTACAGGGAGACAGCACGCAGTAACTTGGCGTCGCGTCATTCTAGTTTCCTCCACTGACCGAAAAGGCAACATTTTTTGCCGATGAAATTGAACCCACCACCACCCCATCAGCCACCCTTCTTTTTTCTCTCTCTACTCTCGTTGGATTCAGAAGCTCCGTTTTCTTGTACTTGTATGGCGTGTTCCCCACACAAACTCCGGTTCTGTCCATCACCGCAATTATGTCGACTTATTCCTAGAAATGTTATTTGATTCTATCAGACGGTTTTAGATTGTGTTCTGAATTGTTAACAAGGTTATATTTCAAGATGTAATATTTATATTTTGATTTTTCTGGTACTTCAAATGAAGTTTTTAATTGTTTGTAAAATAAAAGGCAATTTTATGTATGTATTTAGTTAATAAAAGCCCAAACGTCTGGAATCTGAGTGGGAAGTAGTATTGTGTTGTTAACTTTTTATGGTAACTATGCTTTACTTTGAATAAAAATGTAAAATTGCCAGGGAAACAAGTTCAATCTTTCAAATGAACATTTTTTTGCAATATCTGTATTAATCTGCATAATAAATGCAAATATTATATAAGTTTAATATATAAATTATATAAAATATTTTAAATTGTAAAAACAAAATTAAGGCTTCCTGAACCCCAAAATGGAGATTGGTTGTCTCAGACATATGAGCATTCCTTTTGAGTTCGAGTAACGCAAGTCCATAAAATACATAAAACATATCAAGGATATGACACCAAGTGATACCAAAGCATGTTTATACCAATCAGACCCACTACCAAAAGAAAGAACTCATTATTTTTTTCTGTCATTTTTGACTCCCTCTGACATGTTCACATATGAGAGCACATAACTTTACATCAGGAAACCAGAACACAATTCCTCCTGATGATTTCGCAATCAACATGCAAAAGATATCCCTCGGCAAATATTCCGACTTTTATATATTCCCAAGTTGTGCAATCCAAACCTAAAATCCAGGATTTGCCGCCGAACACGTAATGTATAGACGAGTACCAAACCACTCACGGTACGGATTTGTTTGCGATTCAGGGTTTAAATTCCCGACATTATTAGCCTTTAGTCAAGTCCTACGCGCCTATACCCAGACCATCCGGACACGTAACGCACCCTGGATGCTGGCACGTAAAAAGACTAGCACGAGCGGCAAAGCCGCGAGGGCCTTTACTATCTCGCGGAACTAATCACTTATTCATTTATTCAAGTAATATAAATCAAGCAATATAAACCAATCATCTAACAGTGGTTTGCGGTTACCAGCAACAGTACGCGGCCATGGCTGTCTGGCGCCAGACGACGGCTGCATGATTTACGTTAGTAATTCTGCATTTTCATTTTCATTGGTCAATTCACAACGGGTAATGCATTATGCATGTCTACAAAATCGGTAGACAAATGTAAAGAAAAACATAAGCGTTCTCCACGAGATGGTAAAGGCCCTCGCGGCTACGCCGCTCGTCCTAGTCTTTTTACGTGTCAGCATCCGGGGTGCGTCACGTGTCCGGGTAAGCGCGTGGGAATTGACTAAAGGCTACGACATTATAGGCTCGAGGCGGGTCGGCGTTAGGACTTACCCACAATGTTGACGATGCCGAACATGATACTGGGCGGTGATAGGAATGTCAGGTGGCTCTTCTGCCAGTTGTCGGCGGGCCCTTCGGAACAGGACAACAAATTGTAGACTCGCTCTACTGATCCTAAAGACGGTAAAAGAAAAGTCGAAATTAAATCGTTTAAAAAAAGAAATCATTCTAAATTCATCTTTCCCAATCCTTCACGTTTGGGAGGTAACCGCGGGGCAGTTGCAAGTTGGAAATATATAATCCACCACCTAGTTCAATTTTAAGGAACAATGAAAAGGGCATTTAGATTCATGCATTGCACATCAAATTATTATTATTACTTTAAATAAATTTTTACAATGATAACATGAATAATACTAGTATTGAAATGATTGGTTCGCGGATGTTCTGATTGTAAAATATTGTTCCGAACAACCATGTAAAAACGCTTAAGGGCATGACGTTGAAGAACCGAAATGCGGTACACTGTAAAAAAAAAAAAGTTGGGCAAAATGGGTTGATAATTCGACCAGTGCTGGTCGAATTATCAATTGCCTACACTCTTGGGCACATTTTTTTCAATAGTTTGACAGTTTTTACCCAATTCAACCCAATATGAGGTCAGTTTATACCAATGTCGGGTAAATTACATTGCCCAGCAGTATTTTACCCAACGTTTTTACAATGTACATAAGGAAGAAAAATGGAATGATAGTCGCAAAACACTTAGACTAGAACTCAACAAAGTAAAGGGAAAGTAACAGGGATGCTTGAAAGTGAAATAGAATGAATGAAAACTGTCCGATGAGAGGCTAAACGATTATGGCCCAGATACCAAACAATGTGAACAACCGTATACATGGTAGAATTTAGATCCTTGTGGAGACATTTCATTGTTCTCATGTACTAAAGTTTTTGAGTTTGAAAGTACAAAGTTTCAAAATGCTCTTATTTTAACCAAAATTAATTTCCTTGGCTAAAATTCGGACTTAATATCCCTTTTCTAAAACTCTACCATTTGCGACGTATCAACATCCCTTGGAAATTCCTAGTTTTTGAGTAAAATCCATATATCTATTCGTCATCTATTCGTCTTCTGTCTGAAGACGGTCAGAGCTTACTGACCGGAACGTCGAGTTTATACCTCTGGTTCTTTTCAGAACCATTCTCTTTGTTGAGAAATTATTCGCACATGGTGTTTCCGCAAACCTTTCATTATTTAGCTCCAATAAAAAGATGTACTGCACCGGGAAAGTACAAGGACCTATGGAGATATATTTGATTTATTGGTCAATTAAACGCTACTTGTTAATCAAAGATAAAACACGGCTCTTTAGATAGGAGCCACCTTCCAGGAAAATTGACTAATTTGTCTGTGGAATAGACAGCAAGCGTCTATGATATCCGTGCATATTATCTAAAACTGCACTACGTCTTGACCTCCACATTCTGATCATGCAGCGGGCGCCTTCTATCGGGTAACCCATTGTTGTGTTATTGTTATAAAAACATGGTAGCAAATTGAGCAATCAACAGCTTAGGCCGGCTTTCTGCTCAAAAAGACGTCACAATATCCAAAGTCGGTTCCGATTGGCTGGCGTGCAGGGTCGCATAAAATGTGCATGCACGCCATTATATCTGACGTTTTTTGCGGACCGGATCTTGCCGGCTCCGTCGAACAACGGATGATACTCAGACTTGCATTCATCGTGGCTTCATCCTAAAATAGCCACCTCGTTCAAAAAAAATTAACCCACAGGATGAAAAGTAAACCTCGAATTCTTTGTCTATAATGCTATTAGCATTGGCGAAAAACGAGAATGTCCATGATCACGTCTGCAAGGACCGATTTCGAGACTCTTACAAAGTATACGCCTGTCAATTCGACCACAGAAACTAGACTAAGAGGTTTCAAGTCGCGCCATTGTCGGGAGTTATTACCTCCCAAATTGACGGCGAATCGTGCTAAGTACTGAACCCGAGGGAGCAGTTCTTTCATATGAATCGTAATTGGGAGTAACAATTTACACTGCAGATGTCTTCGCACTGAATCTCCGTGTTAAGGATTCTGGATAGCTCATTGCGCGCTGTACACACATTTGAAGCTACGCACTGGTTTACAATCTCTCAATTCGAATATGGTACGGGAACTAGTATCACCAATTCCATCGTACATTTTATAATAACATTTTAAAACAGATTTGAATTAAAGTATGTTAAACAATTGTAATCTCCACAGAATGCAATATAAACATACAATTGTCACAAATAATGTTTGCTATTTAAAAAATGAATACATAAAAAGATTGCGGTGAAGTTAGAATAGATTTGGTTTACAACTCCATTGTTATGGAGAGATAATATGGTGGACGGTGACTTCACTTCTAACAGCCTATGGCTATCCAGATATTTTTACTCATACGGATCAGTGTTTTCCCCATGACGAGTCTTTGCAATTTTACGCAGGGATACCAGCGGAATTCAAATACTAAAGACGTTTGTCGGATTCGTTTGGGGACGTGCTATACATTGTTTACCTTTAATATCGACTGACTCGAAACAGGGCGCGGTCTGAGTGCAAGCCTTTTGTGTGCCTTATCACCCATAAACAGTGTTCATGGAAGAGTGGCTGTTTCCGTTTGTTATCATACCAAACATTTCCAGTCGTTTTTGATTGAAATTTTAATTGAAGAACTTTGGTTACCCCGTTGGTATAGCTTATGGTCAGCTCATGTGAATTGTTACAAAGAAAAACATCAGCATCAAAATGGAAATTACTGCGTGGTTAACTGAAACCTTTCATTGCGAAGGCAGTAAGTAGATAAGAATGCATCAAATCGATATGTTGATGTTTACTGAAACAAAAATAAATGCCGCTGAATTTTTGGTTAGATACCATAATTGCGTTGTTGAACAATAACATGTAAAGTTTGTATAAATGAACTTGCCATAATTAATGTCACCAAGTACCATATCTTGCATATCGTTTGCGTTGAAAAATGGATTCACGCATAGATCAGGTCGCCATCAGGTGTAAAGCGCGCCATGCGACTGAGCACTTCAAATCAAGAACTACACCGCTATGATTTAGAACATATCTTACGGACTAAGTGACAAATTTCATCTTAATAAGCTCAATACAACAAAGCGATTGTTATTTCATTACTGTAGGATATGTGATATTTGTTGTAGGCCTACACACACTACTGTGGATGGAGGACGCCTCGTCTGCCATACGTACGTTGTGTGTAAAAAGCGCCCTAGTGGTAAATGTTATGCACAAAATACCACGATCTCTGCGGTCGTGTCAACCTAAAGTTGAATAAAAATTTATGTTTTGGTTTGTCCTCATGTACATTTGGGTTGTATGCTATAAATAAGAGCACTTGGCCACTTAAAAAAATCATCATAGCCTGTACAGAGAGTTTTCTAAATCAGTATGTTAACAACAAAAAAATGTTATTAATATTCAAACAACATTAGAATGTTGTTCTTACATGATATCTACAAAGCCCAGTAACGACGCGAAAGAGTCTTCGTTTTGAAGATCAACCTTGTTTTTATACCAATATTGCGACCCAATGCAAGAATCAAATAAGAGATGCAAGAATTTATTGCAGAGTGCAGACTGGTGAACTGATTCATTGGAATATATGCCGGCAGAATTGACTTTACAGTTGTGGTAAGATTTCATCCTCATATTTTCCCGAGTCACTCCAGTTGATCTGACGGTCAGGCGTTAAAACGCAGCACGCAATGTGCGCCTGCGTAAAACCAACCTGACCTTACGCAGTCATCGCATCAGAAAACAGTATCGCCAGATAAAAAAAAATCCTCGTAAACAAAATCATTAAAATAAGATTGTATCGCAATGCATTTAATACGAAACGATTTAGTTGAATCTTATGCTATCCGCCGCGGAAATAGCGGAGACATCGTCCTTCACCCTTCATACCTATGTATTTCTTTGAGAAAAACAAGAATTGACCACCAACCCGGATTAGTGACGGTGACAGGTAAAAATAATAGCTGGACGTTGTCATTTATTTTTGTCATCGCATAATTGCACTGCTTTAAATTATCCAGCGTTTTGCTTGATTGAGTCCAATGGGAATCGGTGAAAGGCTAGGGGTATTACGGTTGACAATTGCTGACGGACAGCAACCCTGAACTTTCCCATTTGTACTAAAACAGCGAATCTGATTAAAAAAGAAGAAAAACCATTGAGAAAAGGAAAGGCTTTGTGCTTTGACTTCTGCCGTATTGTATGACATAACACTGCGCGGAGATCCTTGTTTATTCCACAAACACGCGCGTTAAAATACCATAATCCAAACTCACTGGTAAAATCGTGGGTTTGAAAAACAATGGACGATTTTTTTTTTTTTTTCATTTCAAATTCAAAAAAGACAGTTGTTATTTAAAATGTGGACACGAGCGCAAAATTGTGCTTGGGAAGCCGGAAGACAGATAACTGATAAAATTATGTATGCGCAGAAGACCGAGTGCGCAGTTAACGTGCACACATCAAGGTGCAAAATATCAGAACATCAATAACACCATCGCGGAAACCGCCCGCCCTCTTGGGATGCGTCAGGGAAGCCAACTTTATTTGCTGTAATTTCGCGCCAACTCCCCCGGCAAAATTAATCAAAATTGGCAATCCAATAACTGGCCACAGTGTACACGCCGCTCCTCTGGGTTCCCTATAAATACGAGGCATTGTTGGTGACAAAAAAACAAACAATCCACGAAATGCACTTCGCCTTTATAGGAATTCCAAACAAATATGCGAACCGAACAGTCTTTAATAAGGAAATGGGCACGCTCGACTTGCCGTTGATGAGTTTTCCAGCGAATTAGAATGGCTAATATCTCATCTTGAGTATAATTGGATTGAACAGTGTAATAGTTTATTTGGTGTCGTGGGTTTGTGCATGTTGGTATTCCTTGAATTTCAGCCAAGTACTTGGTCAATCTACACCATTTGTGACTATCACTTTGCTGTACGTGGAACCATTTTATTTAACTAACACTGCAGATAACTATGCTGCAAATTGATTGGATACAACACCAGCAAAATATGATTATATCTGATCTGCGTAAACAAAGGCGAGGGGGAAAGAGGCGTTTCTTGT